GTGGAGGAGTGCAGGGCAGTTTTACAATAAAGGACGCCTTCGCACGGCTACTTTTTCGAAAAATTATCCCGTCCTGGCTGTCACACGATCACCGGGCTTTAAAACGTATAAGGCACTAAGTTAGCACGTTGCTCGTGAAATTTTTACCTCATTATTTAATTTGAACAAGGACTTCTTACGGTATTATGAGATTCCTCCGTGTAGTCTGCGGGCCTGAACCTTAATCGATATCGATCATTTTAACGTGAATATGTTTTTGGACCGAATATACAAATTTTTTGCGTTCCCGAAAGAGCATATAGGTTGGGTTAGGAATGGTTAACTTAGAAAGGGATTAGGCTACACTAGGTTAGTAACGGTTAAGTTAAGAAGGGGTTGGATTAGGTTAGGAATGGTTAAATTATTATTATAATTATTTTTAATAACATTAATATAACAGTACTATGGTTGACTAACCAAAATATGTTAGGACTGGTTAAGTTAGGAACGGGTTGGGTTGTTATGTTAGGAATGGTTAAGTTAGGAACGAGTTGAGTTAGGTTATGTTAGGAATGGTTAAGTTAGGAACGAGTTGAGAAAGGTTATGTTAAAACTGGTTAAGTTAGGAACGGGTTGGGTTAGATTATGTTAGGACTGGTTAAGTTAGGAACGAGTTGAGTAAGGTTATGTTAAGACTGGTTAAGTTAGGAACGGGTTGCGTTAGGTTATGTTAGGACTGGTTAAGTTAGGAACTGGTTGGGTTCGATTATGTAAGGACTGGTTAAGTTAGGAACGGGTTGGGTTAGATTAGGTAATTTATTTTTATCATTATTAAATGGATCCAATTGAGTGATCCAATTTCGGACAGAAAAATGGCATTATATACATTTTTTCTTATTTGTACAAAAATCTCCTTAGGAATAGGAAAGACCAACAGAAAAATAAAACAAAAACATTCAATCAACAATATAAACTTACACTATCAAAGAGAAAAACATTTACTTACATATTTAAAATAGAAATATACATTTTTCAAAATACTTTTCATTGTTATTATTTTTTTACATATATTTTTTTGTGTTTTGTTAATAGTCTGCTTTTATATTTACCCTCAGGGGCAATAAAAGTGGCCACCCTTAATATTTTTAATTATCTCTTAGACAAACTTCCATTGATTATCTTACAAAAATAGATCCGTTTTAAAGGATTAGATAGAGGTAAATAAAACAAAGATAAAATCTCGTAATTGTGTTTAAAATTGGGTTTTGTAAATAAATTTTTGAATAGTCAAATCTCTTTTGTTGGTTTTTCTGTAAAGCTTCTTTTTTACGGTGGTTTGATTTTCTTAACTAGTATTATTTTTAGTTTTCACATTTGTTTGAGTGATGGTTTTAAGTGATACAGATTCTGCTAGAATCATAGCACTGTTAGAAGATGGAAGAAGTTAAGCATATGTGGCCAGGGTGCTTAGCATTCCCAGAACAGCTGTCGGAAGGGTCTTCCATCGCTACCAAGTTACTAGAGGTTACTCAAGAATGCATGGAACAGGTCACCTCTCAGAGAGATGTTTGTTCTATTGTTATTATTTATCGACATTCTACCACTGTTGAGATCAAGCAACGACTTCAACAATTTAGAAATCTTAATGTCAGTTTACGCACTGTAAGGCGAAGGCTTTCATAAACCGGATTATGTGCGAGAAAGTGTGCCACTTGTCCAGATTTTCTGGCAAGGCGCAGAACAACTCGGTTAAGTTTCGCATTGGCAATTGGCGGCGGTTTTATTTTTATGCATGACAATACCAGGCCCCACACAGCTAGGATCGTTGGTGAATACTTGGAACGGGCTTCGTATCGAACACCTTTGGGACGAAAGTGGGTAAAAGTCGCCCAGTCATGCCAGAGAATTCGCAGGAATTAAGAATGGCGCTGTTGGAGGAGTATGAAAATATACCACAGCGCTACACATAAAACCTCATAAAATGCCACGTCGAATGCAAGCGGTGATCAACGCAAGAGGAGGAAATACTCCATACTAAATTGAACATATTCATTTTATTTTGAATATTAATATTATTAATTTTTTTAATCAAAACTGACAAGGAACGGATTAGGTTAGGTTAGGTTAAGTTGAAAATGGTTAAGTTGAGAACGTAACCAATTTAAAGAATTGGTTGTACAGAATGGAATGTTTAATGGGAGAGGATTTCGGATCTGGTAGTTAGGAATGGTTAAATTATGTTAGATTAAATAAATATGTTTCAATATTTTTCCATGAAGCGGAGAAAATATGCGAGTGCGAAGCGCGAGTTCCATTGTCATTCTAAAACTGTCATCCAAATCCAAACGTTATACATACTTGGTCTGCCTATCCTCGCTGGTTCGATCTATCAGACGCACTTCGCCGTCTTCAGCTGTAAATAAAGCACAAATTTCACAGTTCACTATTTCATAGTTCAAATATGTGCATAAAATAAGTAAGATACATAATTTTTCTTCACTAAATATAAGAGTTACTTATACTGCTCGACTTACCTAAGTTGGCCAGCTTTTCCTGTTCAGGGCTTTATGCTTCAAACTCCTTGTCGTTTTTTTTACCAAGTTCTTCAAGTCCTCCTATCTATCTATTCTTCATTTATAGTGTTTCAGTAAATTATTCGATTTTATCTTCAGCTTGATCGGACCATTTCCACTACAAGGATCAACCTCTTATTTCTATACACTACTTTTTCGTTTTATTTCTGAGTTCTTCAGTTTTTCCTTCAAACATTTGCATAGATCTCTGTGTTATTTCCCGTCTATGCGTACCTTTAATCTGAATCTATGTTGTTTAAGTGAGTGTTAAAGCGATGACGGGGCTGGAGACTTTTCCTTTTCCTAATATCCAATATTTTTTTCCACGACTTCTTGCAGTTTCTTTATTTAATTCCGTCTTTAAAACTTATCACTTGGCCTAGATAAACATCCATGTGTCTTTAGCTATAATATCAGGCTTTGAGTCGTTGAAATAGTCTTTTTTATTATTTATGCTCAGCTTTCTCATGTTTTTTTCTAATGATGGTATCTTATATAGTATATCTTGCGATGTTTCTCTGGCGATTTAGCAAATGAGGGTGGGTGAGGCGTTTTCCCGGGCCTTCGATTCCAAGCCTCGTGCTATTGGTTTATATTTTCACATCTCCACACGTGCTTTTGGTTTAACAATTTATGACAAACTAGAATGTTGTATTTATAAAAAGATGGCTGAGGGTCTTGCCTGTTCCACGCTTTCGCAGTTCAGATTATCAAAGATGCCGAGAATCGAACCCACACGAAATTCAGATTCTTAAAATAAAATGTATGTAAGGTTTATTAGTCTTTATTCATTTTTCTGATTATTCTACGCGTCTTTATTATTGAGACGTCTTCAAAGCCGAAATCTTCTGAACATTTTCGCCCATTTTGATTGCCACTATCCATCGTGGTTAGCCTCTTTTCTATCGTCGTAGGTGCTGAACCCCCAGCCCTAAACAGACGGTAATAGGACGATATGACACAAAGAGAGAAAAAATAGATTACAACCCAAACGTGTTTACTCAACCCGCTTATTCGTCACTAATTCTGCTGATAATTGTAAAAATAAAAAGATGTGTAGCAACGTTGCATATCGAAAAATGCAAATCTAATTCAACACATTTAAAAAAAAATAATAATAAGGTCGAAGAGGTTGAATATTTAAGAATATTCAAGGAACCAAATGAAACATTATTTCGGGGGAAAGGGGAGAGAGTGACTGACTTAGTGAGCGAGTGAGGGGGGTGAGAGTGAGTGAGATTAAGAGAGGGAGAGAGAATGAGACCGATTGATTAAACGATTAAACTTTTTATTTAATTTCGCAAAGTTAGCCCACACGTACTTTCTTCCACTTAACATAAAAAGAGAGAGAGAGAGAGAGAGTGAGAGAAATAGTGAATGAGTGAGAGAGTGAGAAGAAGAAAAAGAGAGAGAGAGAGAGAGAGAGAGAGAAGAAGAAAAAGAGAGAGAGAGAGAGAGGGAGAGAGAGAGAGAAAGAGAGAGAGAAAGAGAGAGAGAGAAAGAGAGAGAGTGAGAGAAATAGTGAATGAGGGAGAGAGTGAGAAGAAGAAAAAGAGAGAGAGAGTGAGAAGAAGAAAAAGAGAGAGAGAGGGAGAGAGAGAGAAAGAGAGAGAGTGAGAGAAATAGTGAATGAGGGAGAGAGTGAGAAGAAGAAAAAGAGAGAGAGAGAGAGAGAGTGAGAAGAAGAAAAAGAAAGAGAGAGAGAGAGAGAAAGAGAGAGAGTGAGTGAGAGATAGTGAATGGGTGAGAGAGAGTGAGTGAGATTAAGAGAGGGAGAGAGTGGGTGAGAGAGAGTGAGTGAGATTAAGAGAGGGAGAGAGAGAATGAGAGAGAGAGAGAGAAAGAGAGAGAGTGAGTGAGAGATAGTGAATGGGTGAGAGAGAGTGAGTGAGATTAAGAGAGGGAGAGAGAGAATGAGATTGATTGATTAAACGTATTATTTAATCACGCAAAGTTAGGTCACACGTACTTTCTTCCACTTAACATAAGAAAAAAAAAGGAGAGAGAGAGAGAGAGTGAGTGAGAGATAGTGAATGAGGGAGAGAGAGTGAGTGATATTAAGAGAGGGAGAGAGAATTAGTGGGTGAGTGAGTGAGAGCGAGAGGCATATGGCAGGCCAAGACCAGCTGTTTTGTTTTTTGATTTTTTGTTCAGTGAATCTCTCACCTTTCATCACTGCTTAAAAATGAATGATAATATTAAGAAGCAATGAATAAAATGTTAAATAAGTTTTGTAACTGATTTTCTAAAAAAAATATACGCATTTTTATAGGTTTAACGTTTTGCGTATGCAATAATAATGTATGCATTTTTTCAAGCACTCTGTAATCCCAATATCCATCCCGCTGAATAAATTAGTTCGGAGCACTGAGAAAGAGCAGAATGTTTGGCTCAAAATATTACAAAAATTGAGTTATTAAATGTGTTTTTTTTTCTTTTCTGTTCCAGCTGATTTTCAAAACGAAAAATGCTTTCCAGACCAGAAGTTTTTGTAGTCTCTACGCCAACAGTCCCGCGGTAAGTTGATAACTTAAAAACAAATCTAATCGCCTAATCTAATAACAAAAAGGTATAAAACATTTTCAGAACACATTCCTAAGCAGATCTATTTCTTTCCTTTTGACCTCCCACCCTGCAATAAATCGGAAATTGCGATTTTTTTTTTTTTTTTTTTTTTTGGTGGGGGGTAACAGAAATATCTGCAGGCTATCTTCCTAAAATAAAAGAAAAGTTACTTTGCCTATTTTTATAGAAGCGTACAAATACCTCAAAAGGAACCTCCTAAAAGGAAAAATACCTTTCAAAAACAGAAAAAGTGTTTTCAAATTTTGATCGCGTTTTTACGCTGATCCATGTATTATTTTCCAGATAAACATTTTCAAACAGTATTTTATTGCTCTAATATACATATTAATTTTTTTTCTTTAATAAAAACGTTAGGTATAATTTTTACAAATTTTTATAATATTCATTTGGTTTCAATTGTCCTTTGTTTGTTTATTCCATTATGGATTATTTTTATTGTATCCTTTAATGTGTCCTTTCGTCCTTGTCTACTTTTTCTTCACTTTCTTCTACCCGCCCTCTCAAATCGGCCTTAAAAACGATAGAATGATATTAATTGGACGTAAAAAAGAAGGTGAGCTGGATATTTAAGTACCTCCCTCACCCCTTCCCACTGAACAAAGTTTCAAAATATAATTGACTTGTTTTGATCGCTATGAAGAAACATTCGATTACATAACTATTATTAACGTTTAAAACAGGAAGAATAACAACTTGTTGAAAATAAGGTCGATTATTATTTTCAATAAGAGAAGTTATTAAAAATGCAATTTGCATAATAAATCTTTTTACGGTCGATTAATATGTATATTTTTCGTTTTTTTTTTTTTTTTTTTTTTTTTAAATTTATATACACGGTGTTCAGCTATTCGTGTTACAAACTTTGCCAGTAGATTCTACATTCAAAATGGAACCAAAAAGCCCTGATTAACTATGGTCCGAATCTCAACAGTTTCGGAGTTATTCCACTTTTTCTGATTTTTTAAGATTTCACGACCTTTCTTCATATAAACAATGATCACCGTTGATACCATTGAAAATTACGTCAAATTTCCAGTAATTTGTCATCAAATACTAAACTTGTAAACTTTGGTTAAATATGCGTTTTAGTTGCGAGAACTTTGAAAAAAAAAATTTTTTTCAAAGTTGCAAAACTTACTATGGTGATTCTAAAGTACTATTTCCAAACCAAGAGGCCAACAAATTTCAGAAAACGTACTCCATTTAATATCCTTTTTAGTGGTGCAATTGCTTTTTTAATTTCTTTTTTCAAATATGAAGTATGAATGATGAAATAATAAGTAAACAATTGCGCTATTTCGGTTTCTCACACAAATTAGAAAACGTTTAACAAATTCATTCAAAATCCCTTAAGTTTTTCATTTTTATTTTTATTTTAATTTTTTTTATCTTTCCGCCTTACCAATCCGTCAGCCACGGTTTGTTCCTTTCCTCCATCAATTTCTTCATCTTTTTTTCATTTTGATTTTGTCTTTTTGTCTGAGACACTCATTGATAGTGTCAATCCCAATGACACAGAAGCTCAGGATCTATCAGCTTTTGTTGGCTTTCCTTGCAAGTCTCCCTCTCGTTGCCATCTACTTCCACTTATTTTAAGTCTCAGCAGACTTTATTTTGCATACCTAATCTATTTAGTTTAGTTTTGCAATTCAACACATTCTTTGATCTAATGATGTTTGAGCTTAATGCTTTGATAGTTATATTCTTGTTTTTGTACCCTTTGGTCAGATTGGACTGGGTACATCTCTCAATTGTATGGACTTCAACATCCAAATGGACTTTAATGTAAAATGTCAAACTGGCCAAATGTAAAAGTTAATAAAATTAAAACATAGATAGTACATATGAATATATAGTAAAAGTAAATTATTATTGTTAGAGGAGGGATAGAAAAACAAACTCAAGAGATCAATTAGTTAAAGAAAGAGCCAAGTGATCTTATTTGGCATTGGCTATTTTAAAAAATCAAACTTATTTTAACACTTCATTTCAAAAGAATGGACATCCAACCAGATCCATTTGGCAAACGAGTAAATAAGCAGAGGTCGCGTGAATTGGCTGATTTGTTCGACTTGCCCTTGAACCTGGCCCCTTCTTTAGATTCGTCTATCGTGAATAGTCACAGCATAGACCCACCTAAAGAAACAATTTAAAAACTGAAAGCATCCAATAAAATAAAGTGCTTTATTTACTCTTTTCATTATTTTATATTTTCTAGTATTTTAATTTTATTTTAAGAAAAATGTATATACAAAAGTGGACAATTTGAGGTGTTATTGAAAATCCAAATCCTTTAACAACTTTTTGTTTAGTCTCATGTAACGCAAAAATGCTTTGGGTTTTTATTTACTTCACAAATTACATTGGAAATTTGTGTAAAGAGTTTGAAAAACAGACATACAAACAAAAACCACTATAGCACAATAAATTGATTTATGCTGAATCAGCACTGGGTCACTCATCACGTCTGTCTTTACTCGAGTAATATGAGTAGTTAACAAACTCGCAAATGAAGACAGACCCTATGCATGAACTCAGTGCGGTGTGTGTTCAGCACGAATTCACAGACTCGCAGATCCACACCACAACGCAATGGGTTTGTATTTATTACTGTTTGGTCAGATCTGCACATACATGTACAAACATACACATGTGTGCAGAGTTGAGCCTATCACTTTTCGCAATCCACCAGCAATGCTAGCTTTTAATTTACAATGAATTAACACCAGACCTCAAGAATCACTCACCACTAGTGTTGGCAGTTTGGGGTCAGATCTCGGTCTTATCCAACCCGCCAAGGTTTTGACAAAGGGCTATTTGCAGCTAGGTCATTTCAGCCCCCACTGCAATTAATTCCTAAATCCAAACTCAACACACTAACAAATAATTTGTATCTTGGTATGGTCTAGATGAAAAACAAATTCACTTGTTATCTGCCAAGCTTTCGAGCTATTTTAAAGTCATCACCAGGACAAGACAACTTGCAGATATCTACAAATTGGCATAATTAATTTTTCAATAAATTGTTTCAACTTATTTCGGGGGACCGCGGTAGCCGAGTGGTTAGCATGAGAGACTCTCACGCCGCGGTCGTGGGTTCGATTCCCACCGTCGCCTCTGGCCCTTTTTTCCCCTTATTAATTTATAACTTATTTAGAATGTAGTTTCAGTCCCAACATTGCCAAGGAGTGTAACACATTGCCAATAAGTGTGGTGTGGTCAATAGTGTTATAGTCCTAATGTGTGTTGAAAAGTGAATGTATTTATTAGTGTGAATGTTTTAATTATTAATATGTAACATTTTGGTTAAGGCGTCTAACTCTTATCTACCACTCAGTTTGGCCCCTCGTCCGCAACTCCCAATGCGTAGTTGTACATTAAACCCTCCTGTACGACAGGAATTACTTTACTTTTTTTTTACCTATAAAATTTCATAAATGCCATTTCTGTTTTAGAACAAAAAGGAACGAGATGCCAGTGCAATGCAAAAGACGAAATCTCCTGATATGTTTTATGTACGTATTTGCAAAAATTATTTTTAAAAGAAGACACAATTTAAGGATTGTGTGAACGCTATAAAAAATTTTGAAATAATACATAAGTAAATTGCATGAGTCCCAGATCAAAAAATTTCCCAAATATTTGTGTCTGTTAAAAAAATTAACGAAAAACTAATAAGTACTTGACAGTTTTGATCTCTCTCTATTATTATTTATTATTTTAGTACTCAGACATAACAGTACGTTTGGCCTCACCTGAAAGATTGCAGTCTAAGCCTGAGGCAAGCGCTCTTAAATTTGGCAAGCATTTTACAGATCATATGCTAAAAGTAGAATACCACGAGAGCATTGGAGGATGGCAAAAGCCTATCATATGCCCGATGGAATACATTTCGCTTCATCCAGCGGCAAAAGTGTTGCATTACGCAATCGAGGTAAATCGAAACTAATCGAAACTTTTGGTTATTAACACACAAAAAAATGCTCTTTGTATAATGTTCGCCCTATTTATTAGCTGTTCGAAGGTATGAAAGCTTATAGAGGAAGGGATGGACACATTAGGATTTTTCGACCCGAGCTTAACATGGAAAGAATGAATATGTCTGCAGCACGGTCAGGTCTTCCGCAGTTTGACGCAGAAGAACTGATTAAATGTATGTGCAGATTGGTTGAAGTAGATCAAGAATGGGTACCGCACTCAGAAGCAGCAAGTCTTTATTTAAGGCCGACATTTATAGGAACTGAGGTACAACTCTTCTGTTAGCTTAGAAAATACATAATAATAATTATATTGTGTAATTAGGTAAATCAATTAATAAGTTAAAACATATTTGAATAAATATTTCAACACCAAAATTTACTACTTTTTTTAAGAAAATAAAAATTACTGTCATGTTGAATCTAGATGGGTGAGATTTATTTTAGTATAGTAATTCAGTACATAACTGTAACATTTTATAAAAGATTTGTCATTAACCATGCAATGTAAATATTTTAAATTTTAAAATTTATCCTGGGTAAACTGGTAATTCTAAGTGTTGATAATGTTTAGATCAATATTTCTTTTCAAATCAAATTCTTATTTTAACAATCATTTATTAATTTTATTTTGTCATTTAGCCTACTTTAGGTGTGCAAGTGCCAACCTCTGCTTTACTCTATGTGATCCTATGCCCGGTAGGGCCGTACTTCGGGGCAACCCTTGCACCTGTGTCGCTCCTTGCAGATCCCCAGTATACGCGAGCATGGCCGGGAGGAGTCGGAGACAGAAAAATGGGCTCAAACTATGCCCCAACGATTCACGTTCAGGTTGAATAAATTGTATATTTATTTTAATTTTTGCGTAATTTAATTTAAATAATTTTTAGCGAGAAGCCGACTCCATGGGCCTTCAACAGGTGTTGTGGTTGTACGGTGAAGATCTACAGATAACTGAAGCAGGAACCATGAACTTGTTTATGGTATTCAGGAAGAAAAATGGAGGTACATAAATTTAAATATTGTTTAAAAAAAAAACTTGTTTTTGTAACAGAAAATGGTTTCAACTTAATGTTGTTCATTTTTCTCAAGGCATCATCAATTTTAAAAATCCTAATAAAATTGGTCCCTTAAAATTTTAATATAATTAGCCTCTTAATATATAATAATATACTTTTAAAATTGTATAATCATAGTATTTTTTAAATTCTAATAACAGTTATGTGCCAAATGGAACAATTTTATTCCCTAAGTCCATGTGCACATGTCCTGCACCAACGGTGCAAATCAACTCCTTAATTTTCTTAATATTGGCTCATTTAATAGTAAAATTATAACAGAAAAATTGGTATAAATTATTCATTATTATTTGTGAAATTATTACCGTTAAGAGTACATCGCTTTTTACTAAATTAATTGTTTCAATAATTTCAATTTAATTGGGAATTATTAACTTGCCAGTATTTTTTTGGTACAGGTCTTTCTTTTTTGTTTCTTGATCTGTATAATAATTGAGAAAGCACTGGCCAAATGTTTCATTTCTTCCTTTTGTTCTCATCAACTTTTTATATTTTCGTGATTGCATAGAAAGTTGATCATGATTCTTCCATTTTATTTCAAGTTGTTTCATTATAAATTGTATGTATATAATATATATATAACAGTATTTTAATGTATAATTAAACCTGAGATTTTGGTTGAGTATTTTTTGAATTAAAATAATGTATTTTTCAATGTTTATTTATTCTTTCGCAGAGAGAGAGATGGCTACTTGCCCTTTGAATGGTCTCATTCTCCCTGGCATTACAAGACTCTCGATATTAGAAATTGCACGTGAATGGAATGAATTTGAAGTCACCGAAAGGGATGTGACAATGGGTGAAGTGCTGAGTGGTTTGGAAGACGGTTCGGTAAGTAATGAATATATTGCTTACTTTTTTCTAAGTCTAATCAGGACTTCCATGTTTAATCATCATCATAAGCCTGCGATCAAGTGTGACACTTGGGCTTGCAATGGAAACTCAAGTGATGTACCAATAGGTACTTTCAAGTGCCAGAATATCCTTCTCTCCCATCCACAACACAGAAATCGGGTGTTCCACAAGGAAGCATCCTTGGTCCTATTCTCTGTTCAATACACTGCAGACATTTCTTTCAATCCCAATACCGCCTTTTAGCAAACCCAGTCCCAATAGTGGCCTTTAGAAACCTCCTGGACCATCTCATGTTTGAAAGAATAGTTCAAGAAATGGAGGATCAGACTCAATAAAACCAAAAAATTACTAGTCACTCCAATCCAAAATCCAACTGACCATTGCTCAAGCTCCCTATTTCATATCCGACCTTACAATCCACACATACCTTCAACAAAACCAAATCTCAGTAAATAACCTATCCTTCAATGTTCTATGCTATTTTAGACTTTACACCAACAAAAGCCAACATATACCACAACTAACCTGGATTTACAGAATTGAACTGTGGGGTTCAACCAAGCGTCCCAACCTCCAAGCCAGCACTCCCACCAGTTAATCCAATCCAAAAGCCTTCAGACCAATGCCCAAGCTCCCTACTTCATATCCAGCCTTACTATCCACGCAGATGTCTGTTATTTTAGACTTTACACCGACAAAAGACTTTGAACACTCACACTCGACTTCAAAGAATAGAATTGAGCAGACGACATAAACTACTCAATAGACAACAACAGATCAAAACTCTCATTGCAAAATAACTGCCTCATCTATATACACTACAACCAATCTGGACTTACAGAACTGAACTGTGTAGTTCAACCAACCGTTGAACCAGTTACTCCAATCCAAAATCCTTCAAACTAATGGCCAAGCTCCCTACTTCGTATCCGACTTTACAACTCACACAGACCTTCAAACATTTGTTCTCGAAAATGCAAGAAATCAAAAAAGACATCTTCATAAAATTCTAGATCCTCATCCTTACCTCGTAGTCCAACACCTTTAATTCCGAACCCTTCCTGACAATCCTCTAAGTCACCTAAATCAACAACAAAGATTTTTCTCGCAGTCTAGTATTGGAACATAACAAACTTTTTTTAAGTACTACAATATTTCAGAATAATCAGGAAAAAAGCTTGTTAAATTTTGTCACACTAACTTTTTTTTTTTTTTTTTCAGTTGGAAGAAATATTTGGTACAGGAACAGCATGTCTAGTGAGTCCGATTGAATCAATACATTTCAGAGGGAAATTGCACAAAATACCGACTATGCAACAAGAAAATCCGATATGCACTAGGTTATTAAAAGCTTTGACGGATATTCAGTATGGCATGGTAGATCACCCCTGGGCTCGAGTGATTGATTAGTGATTTCAGAAGAAGGATAAATACCTGCTACATAAACGTTGTTTGTACTTGTTACTAGTTGTAAATACGTATGCGTCTTATAAACTGTAATTCAAAGGAATAAACTACATACGTAATAAATATGATTGGATTGAATAATAATTCAAAAATGAAGAATATATGTTAAATTTTAAGCAGAAAATAAAATATAGTTTACTTTAAAAAGTAATCTATGTTTTAGACTAAAATCGTCAACGTTATTTATTTTCAATTTTTACAGCTTGGTTAAAATGTTTTCTGTAAATATTTGAAATTTGTTAAATTAAATACTATCAAATTGGAAAAAAAATAGAAGAATATACTTAATTTAATTGTAGTAGTAACATTATTTTATATAAATAATTAACATTTTATTAAACAATATATTTTAAAAGTTAATTTAGAATTTCATTTTGTAAAAGTTAATAATTTGAATTATTTTTTGAATTTTATAAATAAAAAAATGTGCCTGACACATTTTAAAACGTCAATAAAAATATTTTACAATGTGTTGTAAAATGTACATACATATAAATGATTTTATTAAAGTTTCATTTTTAAGTTATAAATTTCTGATTGGCTTAATCTGAAAAATAGTTAAAAATTTTGATTAATTATATTTATTATAGCATTAGTGTGGCTGATTATAATGTACCCTTCATTTGTACACAATTCCGAGACCTCGATTCACTGTATGCATGTTTATTAATAAACAATTGTATTATCCTCATGGGATTAAGGGGTCAATAAAGACATCTGAATATTATTTTCACACGCCACTGTACTCATGTTTCTCATGCAATTAAAACAAAGTTTGCTTACAGAAAAGATTTTAATTTTTATTTATGTTTTAATGTACTAGATTATTCATTCAACATCATTTAAGAAGAAACCTATATGCCATTAACATTGTGAAAAACGACAAAATTATCCTTGTTTGTGTACCAGTGGATACATGGCAGAGGAGCAATGAGGAGGCTAATAAATTGGAAACCCGGAACCATTTTGTAACGTACCAAATTGCCAAAAATATAGATCCATCAGAATGGAACATAAGAATACATCCTCGGTTATACAGGAATGTATGCAAAAAAGTTCATTAAAAGGCCATTACAGAACTTCTAAACCTAGGACGTGTTAAAGCCCACAGCAGAGACCAGAGAAATATGAAAAAGAAACAGACTGACCTTTCTTCTGGGAGAGGCCAAGCTTTGGAGGGCACACAGGTGAGCCCATAACAATGCTTTGAAATCAGTAAAAAAAAACTTAAGCTTAACAAAGAGCTCAAGACAATGATGGAGATTGCACGATAGATCAATATTGGTCAATAACATTGCTTCACCTCAGGTAAGCAACTATGCTACCTATGCATTAGTAAACTAGTGGATCATTTTTTACTAGTTGGTAACAGTGCTGGTTTTGCTTGTGAGACAAGTATCAACATTTTCAGTGGTTGGTCTGTGTGCTATTTAGTAAATTGCGTCCTTTTATACATTTGTAAAATATATAAAATATATAAAATAAGAATATTTCTAAAAAATTTAGGATCACTATTTTTGCTCCATGTTATGAGATTTACTATTGTGAAAAAATTAGATTTGAATTAATACAATCTTGATGTGAAAATTTTAGTGGATCAATTTTTATTAATTACGATTTTTGGTGAGCCCTAGAAATAAGTTTTGCAGTCTGAATATATTATTTTTTGAAAATTAAGCCAAGATAAAAACCTACTGGGAATTTTTATTTAAAAATTGATTTGTAAGGCGAAACTTTAACTTCGACGATGACTATACATATACTTAGCTACCCAAATAGTAACATGAAATAACATTGAATTTTATTACATGTATAGTTTGGTCATTTGTGATCATTCTGATCCTACAGTTTTGGAGCTGAAGATGGAAAAATACTGACACGCCAAATCAATTATAGGCAGGCCAGGATGATCAGAAACGACAAAACTAGAAATTCACCTTCAAGGAGAAAGTTCACAAATATGCACATGATGGTTAAAAATGATAACCAAAAGTCACCTGAGGCATTTAAATTTGAGTAATGTATGGGACCATAATATTAGATAGGTATTTATTTTTATTTTACAAAATCAATAGTCTGATATTTTGCTCTAATTCAGACAGTAAACAAATTTTAATTATTTGATTCGCATGCTTTTTTCCACGCTTGCCCAATTTCATAAGCTTCACAGTAACGCCGACTAACTTCAAGCCAGTTCACCACTTGAAATATAAACCTCGCATAATCGACTTTATTCCGTTTGTATTGAAGATGATAAGCATGTTCCCATAAATCAATGCCAAATAGAGGTATTAAACCTGCAATTAGATGGTTTTTTTGTTTTTTTAATTACATCTGTTTCAAAAAATTTTTTGCTCACCAGTTGTTGCCTGGAGGGGATTTTCATTAGTGCAAGTTGTGATCTGTAGCCTTGAAGAATAAGGATTGTACCCTAGCCATACCCAACCGGACGATTCAACGGCATAAGTCATCAGAATCATTCTGTCCATCAGGTTGTCAAGAGTGCCGAATGATGCTATTATTTCTCTACACAGTTCATCTGAAATTCATAGACAGGCTTATTTGTTATATTAGTTTTAACAATTACTCTCCTACCACTTGGGCAACCTCCATCGGGTGATAATGTCGACCACAGGATGGAATGATTTATATGACCTCCTCCGTTCAATTTTAAAACGGGTTGTAAGCAAAGAGCCGTGTTCAGATCACCTTTAAAGTAAATTTTTATATCACCTTATAAATCTTAAATATTGTTAAGAAGTAAAACTTCATGAATTAGATCAAAGAAATTATCTAAGAATTATAAAAACAGGTAGTTAAATTTTAATACGTAGTCATAAAAACAGCACAATATGAGGAATTCATTAACCTATAATACAATGGCACAACTGAAAATGATGTTTTGGTTAATTAGAATAGTATGTTTTTCAGCTGGATATTTAATATTTTTATAGTTTTTTAGCCTGCATTACCAGGAAGTGTGCATAGGTTGTGTTAGGTTAAGTAAGGTTAGGGTTAACCTAGTTGCAAGTTCTAAGAGTTTAAACTATATGTAAGTTATAATGAATAATTAAAACATAAATAATAATATACATATAACAATAATTAAAAATATGTACATATTCAACATAACAAACACAAATAAAATATTGTAATTATTATGTCATAATACATATTTGTATAAAAATATAAGGTTAAGGACGAATTAGGTAAGGTTAGATTAAGGGCTGGTTAGGTTAGAGTTAAGAATGGATTAAGTTAGGCAGGATAATGAACTGGTTAGGGACAGATTAGATTAGGTTCTCCCAAGATAGCTCAAAAACCAAACAGGTCATTTGAGCCGGTCTTTATGGAAGGAAATACTGTGTGTAAAAACAAAACAAAAAAAGTCATCAGTCACAGATTCCAGGCAAACTAAAAACAGTCACGTCAAGAAGTCAGAGAGTAAGAGAATTGAACTTTATCATCACTGAAACACAGTCGAGAGTTAAATTGGTCCAGTCAAAACTAGATAGAGATTGAAATATTAACCTGTACTAATTGCATTCTCCATTCCCTGAAGGGTTACATTCAAGTTCTTGACATAGCTTCGGTGGTATTCATTATGATGCAATTCCAACATCTCTCTACAAATTACTGGTTCCAATGCATCATAAGCATAAGGTAAGCTGGGTAGTGTATGGTGAAGACGTTTAGCAAAACAACTAAAAAAGAAAAAACTTATAAACTTAAAAAAAAATTTCACAATATCAGTATACAATCGATTGCTTAGAGTTAGCTAAAGTGATCAGCTAACAAATTATAAATTTACCCAAATTTTGATGCACATTTAAATATTACTTTAATAGATATCATTTTTGTTCATTAATGTATTTTTATTTTTTGTAATTTTGAAAACAAGAAATCGAAATTCTAACACTATGGAAACCAAAATCAAATGGCAATAAAAAAATTTTAAAAACCCACATGATTTTTATTGAACAAATTAATTAAATAAATTTGTATATTGTGGAAATATTTTATAAAATGAATATAGTAGTTTGTTAAGTAGATTGCATTTTTCTCCCTTCAGTCACTGGTGACCAAAATCACCCTTTCTTTCACTCTGACCTAAAACATCTATTGTGGATTTGACCCTTCTTTATTTCCATGCCTTGAAGAGTGCGCAACTTTTAAGGTGACTGGATAGGATATGTCTCTGGCCGGATATTGTTGCCACCAGCGAGGATACAGTATTAGACTGCGAGAGCATTGGATCAGGTTGCAGACTTCAAAGCATAAAAATATACTATACATTGGAATTTGTTGCAGAGTTCCAATTTTTTTCACACTTTCTCTGGGACACCCTGTATACAATGAAAAAACCTACATCCCCAAAAAGTGGAACAGAGATTTGTATCTTGTTGAGGCTACAGTGGCCCTGTCGCCGATACTCAAAAGTACAGCTATACACTGTCAATAAATGTACTACTATTACTACGGAAGCCCCTTCTTCCTCACACTACCAGCCGAGACCCATCCTTTCACCATTAAGGCCTTTTCATGAATAAAAGGTTTAAACTCAAACCGAAATGAAAAAAAAAGTCACAACTATAAATATGAATACAGAATTTATTCAAAATAAAACAGCAACATATAAAAATTTGAAACAACATATACATATTACAACAAATAATTTATATCGTGAACATTGTATAGACAAAGCATAATCTAAATATACATTATTATATTACTAAATACATATAAGCAACAAATTTTCTAATAATCACACCGTTTTTGTAAAATAGTGACATTAAAGTACATAAAACGAATAAATAAATAAATAATATATTAACAATAAAAGCACAAGAAAATAACGACAATGAAACCGCTCAGGTAGAAAAAAAAAATCTATTAATGTATAAATTTCAATACAAATCTATCAATAGTTGTGTACAAATCTAATAAAACTGCTCTATTTGTATCCTAACGGAAGTTTAATTTATAGTTAAATTTTTAATTAATTTGGAGTAATAAAAATCAGACTCATATTTCATTAATTAGGTCAAAATGCTTGTCTTAATATTTAAATCTTTGAAAATTCATTTGAATAAATACTTAAGTGCCACGTACAAAACTTTTTTCTTCGTTCAAAGTGTAACTTCCTACTTTTTCTTCTTCTTTTTATCACTAAGTGACAAAATTTCTTAGGAAACATTCTTCGCTAACTAGGTGGAAAAATGAAATTCTTTTAGAAATTGACTTTTTAATTAAAACTGTTATAAATACAATTGAAACCCCACACAGATTAGACAGTGTGCAGTTGTACGAAATATGGTAATCGTTCGAAAACAAACAAACAAAATTATCAAAAACTTCATAGTTTGCATCTTATTTAAATCACAGTAAATAATTTGGCTTAAATCTTGAAAGGTTAACGTAGATTGTGTTTCAAGAAGAGTCAACCTAAATAATGTCTTAATTAAAAAAGTACAATCAGTTTTACTTTTTTGTGACTAATAAATTATTAACAACAAATCCAATGAATATGTACTGTTCTGGGTTCTGAGAGAAGTTACATCGATCTGTTTGAATTTATTCAGCAGCAACCAGATTTTCCGGCTGTGTATCTTTTGCCGTCTTCTATTTTCAAATTGGTCTGAGCTTCAAGTGTCGATGAAGGGCCGACTCTATTTTTTATCTCGGCTGCCATTGTTAAGAATGCCTGTTCAACATTTTGCGCATTCTTGGCTGAAGTTTCTATAAATGGTATTTTAAGGAAATCTGCATATTCCTAAAAACAAATAATAATTATTATATTGGGTTGTCCGGAAAATAATGCAGGATTTTAAGTTTTCATTAAAAAAAATCTATATAAAATATTCTGTTTACGTTTACAGGATTACTCATTTGTATGAATGTCAACACTTATTAATCCTCTTCCAAATGATATTGTTTGTTTACCTCTGTAGCATTCCGCTACTTGGAAATAATTCAGTCATCCTTATAATGTCAAAGCGAGAATTTCGTACGATTTTCTTTTACGAGTTTAAACTCGGCCGAAGCGGAGCCCAAACGGCTAGAAACATTAACCAAGTCTGGGGCGAGGGTTGTGTTAATGAGTGCACTGTGCAAAGGTGGTTTAAAAAATTTCGGGAGGGAGATTTCAGCCTTGAAGATGAAGAAGGTCGTGGAAGGCCTTCCTCTCTTAATGATGATGTTCTGCGATCAGTGGTGGAAGAAAACCCCAAAACAACTGTTCGAGAACTTGCAGAGCAACTCAAAGTCAGTAAAACGACCGTCGCTGACCACCTCAAGGCGATTGGAAAAGTGAAAAAACTCGAAAATTGGGTTCCACACTCATTAAACGATCGCCAAAAAAATCAGCGCTTTGATGTTTGTGCATCACTTCTTTGTCGAAACAAAAATGACCCATTTCTGGCCAGAATTGTTACTTGTGACGAAAAGTGGATTCTCTACGATAACACTAGACGTTCTGGACAGTGGCTCGACAAAGGAGAAGCTCCAATACATTTTCCAAAGCCCCCAACTCATCAAAAAAAGGTAATGGTTACGGTATGGTGGGCTTCATTTGGTTTAATACACTACAGCTTCTTAAATCCTGGCGAAACCATCAATGCTGAATCATACTGTAACCAAATTAATACCATGCATCAGAAATTGGCAGTAATGAAGCCCTCTTTGGTCAATCGGAAAGGGCCCATTTTGTTGCATGACAACGCTCGACCACATGTGTCACGTGTAACGTCACAAAAATTATTGGAGCTTGGCTATGAAACTTTGCCTCACCCACCCTACTCTCCGGACCTCTCGCCTACTGACTACCATTTTTTTAGACACCTGGACCACTACTTACAACACATAATATTCAAAAATCAAACGGAACTGGAAAATGCATTTATTGACTTTATCAATTCTAAAAATTCTGAATTCTACTCAGACGGAATTAATAAGTTACCAACACGTTGGGAGAAATGTATTGAGAGTATGGGAAATTATTTTGATTAAAGAACATTGCTTTAAAGTAACTAGTTTCTTTTTTTTTGTTTAATACCAAAATCCTGCATTATTTTCCGGACAACCCAATATTTCAATGGTTATTACTTGTTACATAAAATAATTGGAATTTAGCCAAGGAAGAAATATTTTAAAAAATTAATTCACTTCTCACTGTCTTCCAATCTAATTGGTATAATTTCAATCATTTACTAATCAATCATTATGTAAACATTACATTTTTATACAAAAAAATTAATAATAATGACATTGTAAAAGAACAGAGTCTGAAGGCAGTTGATCGAGTCAGCTAGAAGCAAAAAGCATGAAGCATTTCATGGCAAGATCTTCATCACCCGTAGGTTCTAGGAAAGTGGGCTCTGAGTTTGAGATTTGGCAGAAAGAAATCATCAGTTTGCAAAAAGCTACTGCAAGAAGAGGTAGACTCTACAAAATCGTTCACCAGGAAAATAAAATTTGAGAAAGTCACACTGTAATGGCCCCTGGCAGTAATACAACCCAAATAACCTATGGATCACTAATCTAGTGGGCCCAAGCTCAATAAAAACAAGCAACCCAAACGTTAGGCAGCATAGAAATACTAGCGAACCTAGGTATCACAGGGACAATGAGAACAACCCCACAAGTGTAGTAGAAACTTTGCTAAACCTACCTCCACTTGAAACATTCATGCTAAGAAAAGCACATTTCCCCTCTAAAAACAATCAAACAGGATGAGAAATCGATTAATTCGAGCACACAACCATAAGATATTTTCATGATCTCAAAAGCACTCTTTACAATATCCCATAAGGTCCCAACATACTAAAAAGGAGAAGAAGAATAAATACTATGATATGGTATAAAGATGGCTCCAAAACAAAGGAATGAACTGGATCAGGTATTTTTTTACAAGCCAAAACATGAGCAAAAACTAATCATCAATACATGGGTATCAATGTTTGTGCCCTAGAAAAACTAAAAACTGGCAAAAAAATCTTCATAAGATCGGATAACAAGCAGCAAAGCAGCAATTAAACCATTATCATGTGAAAAAATCACATCAAAACTAGTCAGTGAATGCATTCAAACTCTTCAAAATCTGGGAATATACAACAACCTGATGACATCTAGGGTGCCAAAACAAAAGGAATTTTGGGTAATGAAAAAGGAGACACACTGGCCAGAGGAGGATCTGCAAGACCGTATACAGGCCCTGAACCTATACTTGGGATAACAAAAACAAATACAGACTCCTCCATCACTGAATGGATTTAAAAAAATGAGAATGAAAGAGATCAAAAAGAGAAGTAGATAAACTATATGGGCACTAGATACAGCAAACTTATGCTAGAACAACCTCACCGAGACTGACAAACTCACTGCTGCAGTTAAAGAGGGCCAGACTCAGAGGAGTGATAGGTCTATTAATTGGTCACTGGCATCTGATAAAACATCTACACAACATGTGCATACACAACGATGATCCCATCTGCAAATTATGTAGTGAGGAGGAGGAAATCAAGTGTGCATTATCACACTCACCGTCCTGAAAGGGTAAAAGATGGACGAAGATACAATTGCGAGAGGTCTGATTGGTCACCTGGGGTTCGAGTCACCATGGAGGCCTAGGAGTTTCATACAATAGATGTATCAACTGACATTGACCACTTCATAAAATCAAATGAGTGAATGGAGCAGTGGGACATGGCAATCAGCGATCAGGTGGTATAAATGAATGATGATAGACCATATTTTTAAAGTTTTAAGTTAAAATATAATCCATTATATTTAGAGGTCTGATCGACCCAATCAAATCCTGCTTGTGACACTAACTTTTTTATTTTAACCAAAAATTTTTCAAAGAATTTTGTACAATGTTCTCTTTCAAATCGTAAGTAATTACTTTTAAAAATATTAGTTCGAATAGTTACCTTAGCAGTTGAATAGTCGACGACTTTCTTAATTGTAAGATCGCTTTTGTTTCCTACAAGTAATTTATTGACATTGTCACATGCATAGCGATCGATCTCCTCAAGCCATTGTTTCAAATTGTTAAACGATTCTTGGTCAGTCGAATCATAAACGACAATTATTCCATGGGCACCCCGATAATAACTGGACGTTATGGTCCTGAACCTTTCTTGTCCAGCTGTATCCCACTAAAAGAGAAAAAAAATCTATATAAATACAAGTAAATATTATTGAATAATGTAATAAGTGATTTTTATTTTTAAAGAAAAAATATATATATGTTTTGTTTAATTTTAAAATATATTTTATGAAAACACAAATAAACTTACAATTTGCAGCTTTATTGTTTTACCATCTAACTCAATAGTTCGAATTTTCTGTAAAAAAACACAGAATACAAATTAATCAGATCGGTTTTACCTAAAAATTAATCATTTAATTAAAAATATTAATCTAATTTTTTTTTTTTTTTTAATTGTTTAAATTAGCCATGGATTCATTTAAAGCAGAGAAACCAGGCAAGTTTTTTTCCTCTACAGGACACATTATTTATTGTTTAATTCCTTTTTTAAAGATATACTTACAAAATCCACACCAATTGTACTAATATAACTTTCTGAATAAGTGTCATCCTAAAAAAGTAAAAAAATAGCAATATAATTACATAATTAATCCAAAAATAATTACAGCGAGATGATAAAAATTGTAGACTTACTGCAAATCTGAGAAGTAGACAAGATTTTCCTACACCTGAATCTCCAATAAGAAGTAATTTAAACAAATAGTCGCTAAAAAATAAATAAATAAAAATAGGTTAATAATGTTAACATTAAAAAAACTGAAACTTTTACTCATGCAATTATAAACAGTTTTCAATATGTTCAGATTGAACTGCGATTAATAACAGCTTATTTGTTTGCCAAGAGGTTAAAGGATCCCACTATTTTATTGTTAACTAATGCTCTTGGAGCTCCATAGCAAAACGGTGGTGGTTGTCTACCTGGGGGCATATTAGAGTAACAAAAAAGGCAGGCGAGACGGCTAAGGCCAAGCATCCCAACTTTCAGACTTGACCACAGCAATCTGGCCTTCTGACGCTAAAAACGCAATAAAATAAAAAAAAATGAGTAAAAGGAAATGGCACTTCAATGGGCCAGGTTGGTAGAGAAAAGCATGGTAGATGGGTGGCTCTAGGAGGATCTGACTTGTAGAAGAAGGATCATCTTCATCTGATTCAGGATAGGCCATGCAATATGACACACTTAAAGCTTCTTAAAAGCCTACGTCAGTGGGAAGTGGAAGCTTCCTTGGTTCCATACAGAGAGCCATGAGGAATGCCACTTGATATAAGAAATGTGCTTTACCACGGCAGCAAGTATTTGCAACTCCTCTGGGATTTTTTTTTTTTTTGCCCCCCCCCCAAGGGTCTTTCAACTATGAGGCTACGAACCCTCGGGGTGCCGGTGTTTAAAAAAAACCGTTTGTATGGGGCCGTTGGATTCGAACCCGGGACCTTTACCTTACAATGATGAGCGCCATGCCAACACCTAAACCATTAAAGCCACCGAATTTTGTAGGATTTTTTTTTGTCTTATTGTATATAGTACGTATAGATATTTGGTTTTACATTTCCTTTCATGTTTATGTTGGCTGAATCTATTATTAGCGTTAAAATTTAGTGTGAGAAAGCTGATGGTGTCTATTGAATACTTTATACAGTATGTTTAAAGGGTGACGGAGGAATATCAAGTACTCCACCACACAGAGTGAATGGTATGTAAATACAAAAGAATGTAGTTAAGAATGAGGGTGTGAGTATATCTAAGCATTATATATTACATGAGATGAGGGCTGAAATGACCTAGCTGTTAACAGCCCCTGAAGGCTTCAGCGGCAAAACAGATGAGACCAAGGTCTGATCCCAAGACTACCTGAAGTAGGTGACTCTTGTTGCTCATGCAGTAAGCTCAATGTTGTATATGTATGTGCATGCATGTATGTATGTACATTTATGTGCAGAATTGAGCTTATATAAATCAGTAAATCTGTCAATCAGGGTTTAACATCCAACCCGTTGGGTGTTGTGGACTAGTGGTCAAACCACTTTACAATACTTTGTTCATATTATTCCCAATTCAAATTCCATTGGCTGTGCCGGGATTTGAATCTAGAATGTTTAAATACAAACTGGACGCCATAACCTCTTGGCAACATTGTCCCAAAAGTAAAACAATTCCTATCATAAAGAAAGGCTTAGCGTCCAACCCATTGGGTGTACCGGAAGAAGAAGAAGAACCGATTTACAATGATTTTTTAACATTATTTGCCATTAAAAAGCCATGCGCTATGCTGGGATTTGAACCAAGAACCACTAGCATGGCAAATAAGAGTCGGGCACCCTAACCACTCGGCCACTGTGGTCGTGACTGTTGATAGTAATAGTAACATATAATAATAAAAATAATCACTTGATTCATTCAATTTTGCATAAATATTAGTTTTATTCTTTTCAACTTTCTTTGTGAGAAAAACAATTATTCTTCTTTATCAGACTGATAACTGTTAACAAGCAATTAATTTTGAAATGAATACCAGCGACTTTGTCTGCAAGGAGCTTTTCATAACCATTAATACTTTCAAGTTCAGCTTTTTTATTTTTTATAACTTTTGATTTTGATACTATAAATCTCAATACTATGAGAAGTAGAACCATCAAAATATGTCTGAACATAGAACAAAGAGAAAAACTAAGTTTAATTTTTGTTTTAAAAAAAGTTATATTAAAAGTTATTTATATTTAACAAATGAATGAGACGTAATTAGCCTTTCTTATTTAATTCTTGATACATTTTAACATTGAGCTCTACACTTTTCATATGAATCAAATTTTATCTTTATATAATATGTATTATTTGGAGTCAACAAATATCAAGTGGTCATCACTAGCCCTCTGCGCTTAAAAAGGAAATATTTTTGTGCATCACTGTCACTGACTCACTTAAATAATAGATATAATTTAAAAAAAATAGAAATTTATGAATGTTTCACTGTTTAAAGAAAATTAAATTGTATGATAGCAATTCTGAACTAATAATAATCAACTTTATTAAACGCATTATCATACAGTGATAGCCAAAAGTATTTGGGTCAAGGACTTCCATTCCAAATTAATTTTTTAAACTCTTTATTAATTGAACTAACTTTGCCTTTCTTTTTGCAACTCCAAAATAGAAATTATTTGCCAACAGAAATATATTTTTATACTTCAAAGACTTTTCAGGTCAGTCTGATAATTTTTTTCATTGATTTTACACTTCTATATCAGTGCTATAGATTGAGTGCTATCAAGGAAAAAAAGGAGATAACCTGCCAAAGTAAAATTCCACCTGAATATAGAAAAAGGAGGGTAGCAAAATAAATAATAGGGGGCCGAGGTAGCCAAGGGACATCCGACTCGTATGTGTTTCGCTGGAGGGTTCAGATTCCAAGCCCATGGAATTTTAATTGGGAATAATATGAAAGAAAAGTACTCTAAATAAACACCTAACAGGGTAGTAGAATGTTAAGTAATCCAACCACAACAAATTTTGATCAGAAATGACCAAATTTCAGATTCATCATCTCATAGACCCGAAGAAGAAATTTCCCAAAACTAAAAAAAACTTGATGTGCTCACAATAAGAAAAACCTTCATCCATTAGAACAAATAAATGAGCCAATTTCAATTTAGGAAAGTGTTTTTTTTTAGTTTTTTCAGAAAAGCTAATTAAATAAATTTGAATCCAGAGATATATCTGGCTGATAGTGACGAAAGCAAGAAGCTGAAATTCATCTAACATGCCAAAACAGCAAGGATAGCAATACAAAATAATTGGAAATGACCAAATTACTGGTTCATCACCCCACAGGCTAAAGAAGAAATCTTTTAAAATAAAATAAGCTGGATGTAGAAGAGGAAAAACCTTAGTGCAATAGAACAGATAAATGATCAAAATTCATATTGCGATTTCTGGAAAGTTTTTCTACAGCCAGGGAAGATAATTAAATTGTACATAAAATTTAAAAAAAAAAACTAAATATATTTTTGGGCTGGCTTTTCTCACCGTTTTGGTCAGTCAAAAGGGATCACCAACATAATGTACTAGCAAGAGGAAAAACCTTTGTGCAATTGAGCAGATAAATTATCCAATTTCATTTTGGTATTTTGGGAAAATGTTTTTCTACAGCCAGAAAAGCTAATTAAATATATTTGGATCTAAATGAAAACAAATCGTTTGGAAGAGACTCTATTTTCTAAAATTAAAAAAGGTAAAGCTTGATTGATTTATTGCCCCGTTGACTTTGGAAAACAATGTAACAAAAAATACAAATAAAAATCATTACAAAAATCTCTCTTCTCACCAAATCACCAACGTATCTGGTCAGACCGGTGAAGATAGGGAGAAACTGAAACACATCTGACAGGCCAAAACCACCAGGACAACAAGACAAAATGATCGGAAATGACCAAATTACAAATTCATCATCCCACAGACACAAAGAATAAATCTCCCAAAACTAAAAAACTTGATGTGCTCGCAACAAGAAAAATCTTTGTGCAACAGAATAGATAAATGAGCCAATTTCATTTTAGGATTTTGGAAAAGTTTTTCTACAGCCAGGAAAGCTAATTAAGTCAAATAAAAAATATTTTAAAAAATAGAAAATAAAAATGCTAAATGTGTTTTTTGGTCTGCCTTTCCTCGCAATTTTGGTCAGTCAGAAGCATTTAGGTTTCTCACCATATCACATGTCTACAACATGCCAAAACAGCAAAGACAGCAATACACAATGATCGGAAATTGATGCAGGTTCATCAACCCCCAGACTCAAAGAAGAAATTTCCCAAAACCAAAAAAACATGATGTTCTCGCAACAAGAAAAACCTTCACAAAACAGATAAATGAGTCAACTTCGTTTTGGGAAAGTGTTTTTCTACAGCAAGAGAAGCTGATTAAATATATTTGGATCCAAAGGAAAACAAATAGTTTGGAAGAGACTGTATTTTATAAAATTAAAAAAGCTAAAGCTTAATGCAGTTTTTGATCTGTCTTCTTCCCTCACTATATTGGTCAGTCAGAAGCGTTTTAGCTTCTCGACATATCACCAACGTATCTCAGGCCAGTGAAGAGAGCGAGAGACTGAAACGCATCTGATAGGCTAAAACCGCAAAGATAACAAGACAATGATTGCTAACTACCAAATTACAGATTCATCACTCCACAGACCGAAAGAATTAATCTCCCACAACTAAAAAAACTAATGTGCTCGCAACAAGAAAAACCTTCATCCAAAAGGACTGATAAATGAGCCAATTCCATTTTGGGATTTTAGGAAAGTGTTGTTTTACAGCCAGAAAAGATAATTAAATTTAACAAATAGCTTGGAAGAGACTGTATTATATAAAATTAAAAAAGGCTAAAGCTGAATGCAATTTTTGATCCGTCTTCCTCGCAGGATTGGTCAGTCGGAAGTGTTTCGGCTTCTCGACATATCACCAACACATCTGGTCAGACCGGGAACTGAAACGCTTCCGACATACCAAAACAGCAAGGATAACAAGACAAATTAACAGAAACGACGATATTACCCCGTTGACTTTGGAAAACAATCTAACAAAAAAATACTTCGGAGGAATATAAAAATGGTTACAAAAATCACAGAGCCAATAGATTAGTCATAATTTATTTATCCGCCTTTTTATAGTCTAGGAAATGATTAGTTTTATTTTTCAATAAAATCAAGAATAAGGATGAGTCATCGGTAGAATATTTTGGTGATGTGTTACATCAAAGTCGAGGGTGAATCATCGTCATACAGACCTGAAGTGTTGTTTTTTTTACAAGAAAATTACAAATAAATCCTTAGGTCCCTGTATTAAACAAAAGAAAAACTTGAAATAAATGATTAAATACGTTTATTATAACTGAAAACGCAATTACGACAAATGTTATCGAAATGCAGAATTCAAAATTTAGAAGTGTAAAGAATTTTCGTCTTTCTTTTTTTTTTTTGTATCGGAAAAAGGGTGAAATTGATTTTAGTGATGGAAATATACAGAAAATAGAAAAAACAGGCCGAATTGTGTAAGAATGAGCAAGCCCCCCCAGGAACAATGACGCTCGTCTTATCAGAGAGAGGGTGGATTGATTAGGAGAGAGAAACGGTCGGTTAATAGGCTGGACGAGAAAAAAAAAACTATCTTTAAAAATAAAATAAATAAAAAAATACTCACTATTCTGGATTCATACTAAACTCTTCTGTAAATTGTTTCAACTAAAAAGTCCGATTGGGCGCTGAAGGGGATTTCTTTAAAAAAATTTCAAAAAAATCGAAAGATCGACCACAATTTTGAAAGACTAAACTACGAGGAGCTGTTTGAAGGAAAATGGTCGCTCGTAGGGCGACACCGCGACGAAAGGACGGGCAATGAAAACCTCCCGTTTTTGTAGGATCGATATTATCTCTCTGATCCAGTCTAGTCGCCGATCCATTCGAAAATGGATTTTTATCCACAAAATCCAAATTTTGGCGTTATTCCACTTTTTTCGAGACCAGTTTTGAGCCTTTTCTCGTCGGTGTGATTGTCGACACTTCGACACATCTGAAGACGCACGCGACGAAATCCCTCCAACGTTTAAAAAAGTCGTCCATGATCATACGACCCTAGCAGAAAGGAAGGGCGCAATACTACATTTTATCCAAATTGGATTAATCAGTACAAAAATAATCAAAAGAAATAAATGTAATGTAATTAAATAAAGAAAATTTTGTAAATATTAAACAAACAGATCTATGTGTTTACAGAGCGATAATAAGACATACATAAAATAGTACATAAAATGATTTATATCTTGAGTTCAAAAATTAACCGATTTTTAAAAATTATCTTGGCATGAGAAGTATTAACTGTGTGCGTTAACCGATTGATGGGACTTTTTTTATGTAATTAGTCTTATGGATAGAAATGAAGAATATTTTATGTTTCCAGGCTGATAGCTGGGCAACATTAAAGTCTAATTTGAATAGTAAATAAGGAGCAAGATGAGGTCAAGTTAAATTTTTCTCTTTTCCAAAGTTAAAATATCCAAGGAATCCAAAATATTAAACTAATCATGTATAGCCTGAGGAATTTTAAGTTTGTAAGCTGCATATCTTAGAAATTTATTTATTACACTGACAAATCCTATTACATTTTGTAAAAGTTACAAATATACTTATGATAGATAATATCGAGATTCATTATTATTTTTTTTAATGGGGGGGGGGATTTCAACTACGAAGTTATAGGAACCCTTTCCAAACCACCGGCATGTTTTTGAAAAAAAATTTTTTTAAGTATGTCGGGTTCAAAAGCTGAGCACCTGGATTCGAACGCAGGGCTTTTAACTTACAGAGATGAGCTCCGTGTCAATGCCTGAACCGTTAGTATCAAATTTGCACATATGCATAAGTAATAATGAACAATTGAAACATAAATAATAATTTAGAATTTATCTCAACCAAAGCCTTAATTAATTGAAAATAATTTATTTGGCCAATCAGACCACAAAACCTAATAGATGTAATAAGCAAAATGAAGTATACTTCACTAAAGCTCTCTGTGGCCATTTCATTTGTCGCTGAGAATCAAATAGATTACACGACATTTGAAAAATGGCAAAAAGGTGGGGTTGAGATGGGAAGTTAGTGTCCGAGTGGATTCTAATCCCGCTTGTGACACTGATGTTTTTATCCCAACCAAAGCCTTAATTAATTGAAAATAAATAATAATGTACATTTATGTGTGGTGTTTAGTGACCATTAGTCAATGATTATTCAGAGATCGTGAGATGCGGTCTGGTGTGATGTAGATTTTAGAAAAACATTTTCTTTATAGTGCCAACGTTTTGATCTTTATTGACATCATCTTCAGGGCCTGGGATTTATAAACGTTGTTTGAATTTTACAAATACATGTATTCAAAATAGCGGTGAAAAAACAGAAAAGGTGTTTTTCTAAACCACCTCATTCTCGACCACTCCTCATGACACACTGCAAACTTATTATGGAATCCGCAGAACTGCAACCACTAAACATAAAACGACAAAATAATGACTTATTTTCTTGCAAACTCTTAAATAATATGATTGATTGTCCACATTGATCAATTTGCTAAATTTCCATGTTCCACAGTGTAACACCAGACAAAAAATATTATTTTCAAAATCTAATAATCATACAAATTATTTAAAATTTATTCCAATTCCTCGACTTATGGAAATGAGTAATAAATTTCCTTTACATTATGAAACTTTTTACCTTTCCTTAAGTCAGTTTTAAACGTAAAAAAACATATATTGATTATGGCAATTGTGTTTGATTTGTTCATATATTTCTGTTGTTTTCATTAAAATTTTATCATTCCTTGTCACTTCTTTTATATTTTTATACACATGTATTATGACACAATGCTTACAATATTTTATGTTTGTTATGTTGAATATGGCTATACTTGTAATTATTGTTATATGTATATTATTATTTCTGTTTTAATTATTCATTATTACTTATACATAGTTTAAACTTGAAATTAATGATTTAGGTGTCGACACAGTGCTCATCTGTACTGTACAAATCCTGTGCTCAAATCCCGGGCATTTGAATCCGAAATACATTTTTTTTAAAACCAAAAACGTGCTGGTATTTTTGAAATGGTTTCTATAAGCTCACCAATTTAATATTTTGGATTCCTTGGATATTTTAACTTTGGAAAAGAGAAGAATTTACCTTGACCTCATCTTGCTTTGTACACTTACAAATAATAAGATCGTCTCCTTATTTAATTTTCAAATTAGTCTTTAATGTTCCCCAGTTCTCAGCCTGGAAACAAAATATTCTTCATTTGTGCCCATAAGACTAATTACATAAAAGAAAGTCCCATCAATCGGTTAACGCACACAATTAATGCTTCTCATACCAAGATAATTTTTAAAAATCGGTTAATTTTTGAACTCAAGATATAAATGTTTAAATCAGTTTATGTACTATTTTATGTATATATTATTATCGCTCTGTAAACACATAGCTCAGTTTGTTTAATATTTACTATTATATATTACTATGTTAAGCTAGTTACCTTAGATTTTACTATTAATTATCTTTATTCACTCAACCTTTGCTTGTATTCTGTCAATTAAGTTAATTACCTATATTTACTACTATGTTTATTTAATTCATGCTTCCAATTATTTGTTATTATATTGTATTCTAGTTCAGCTATTTCTTTAATCAACTATTTATATTTTAAAATGAATCTATATTATCTTTCATAAGTGTATTAGTAATTTATAAGTTATTAGGAATTTTTAAATAATTAAATTTCAGAGAGCACTTTCAGGGGTGCGTCTAGATAGGAAATTAGCTCGACTTTCTTTGCAAGTGTGTACGAGGCTTTAGCTTCGGTAAAAATTTAATTTAAATAATAATAATTTTTATTTGTTAATTTTAAACATAGTGAAAACAATTAATTAAGGTTTTTTTATCTATTAAAAATGAAAAAGTGAAAACAGTTTTAATGACTTGCTTTATGGATGGATTCAGTTCCTTTTTCTAGACCGGCTCAATTGACCTGTTCGTTCAGTAAGAGCGGTTCATCTTCAATTCGAAAAGCCTCGCCTCGTGTTACTATGGGGTAACCTTCCGTTTGTTTTGTTGTCAAATTTACATTTTTATGCATCCACACAAATAACTGGACAAGATGATGCACCACTACATAAAAGAATTGGAACAGGTATGAAAAACGGTCCGAAAAAAGTGAATTTCGTCAATTAAATTTCCTCTATTCCCGTTTGTTCTCGTTGGCCTGATAAAGGAGCCTTTCGACCACGAAGAATTTGTGGAAAGGCTCGCCTGGAGGACGGTGGACGTCTTCAAGGAGGACGGCATCAACAATTTCGAACCCCATCTGATGTACGAAACTTTCCTTCAAGCCATCAAGTAAGTCTGCCCATCATCACTGCATTCTACCTCTGCCAATTATTCAATCGTCCTTATCACAAACTGTGGAATAACATTTTTCAAACTTCATGAAAAAAATGAAAATTATTTTTTGTTTTTATGCTCAAAACATAATTGTTGTATTGTTCAATAGTCAACTCTATTTATTTATTTATTTACGGATCGAAATCCACTATAAAAAGACGTTTTACAATAACAAAAAATAAAAATAATAAACAAAATAATATATACAAAAAATACAAATAATATATACGAAAAGAATAAGGACATATATACATGGTAATATTATAAATGGTAAATATAAATGATAAATATAAAAATACAATTAAAGAGTAAAACTGAACAAGAACAAAATAAAAGACCTAATCATTAAGTAAATTAAGGCAAAGGAAAGAAAATAAAGCTGAAAGACAATTGAAACTACAATATTTAGGTACATATTTAATGAAAATTATGCTCTTTGTAGATATATATATAGTAAGACTACAGTGCAAGATTTAGGTGAACCAGTAAATGAAATAAATTGTAATAAACTTTTAACAGTATGAAATATAAAAGCATTTAAAAAATATAAACTGGTAAGAAAATTCAACTAGAGTAAGTGTGGTGATTAGAGCTTTGGAATTCAATATGAAATAGTTTGTGGGCTTTGAGAGAGTGCGAAGGACGTGTCGTTGTAGCTGAAACAGGAGAGAAGGATTATCAATGAGATAGTTTAATAATTTATATACAAAAACGTCACCCTTTACAGTGCCAGTTCGAAAAGTTTAAATTCAGAGCGGATTCCAGGTTAGGCAGAGTTCAAAGGAAGATTAAGTTTGTAAGAAAGTTTTTTTAAAAATTTGTTTCGTACAGATTGACTATTTTGATAATTTAGATAGTGTGGGTTCCAAACAGGTGTAGCGTATTCGTGTTGTACAAAAGCTTTATAAGGATGGACAAAACATAGAGGATTTTTAAATTCATAGGGGTTCCAGATGATGAAACCTAGAATCTTCATAAATCTATTTTTTATTGATGACATATGTTTTTTAAACTTGAGCTTTTGATCATAAAGTACACCAAGATCCTTTACGACCTTAACTCATGTTAAAGGAGAATCATGGAGAGTGTAGTGATAAAGAAAATGTTGTTTCTCATGTTAAAGGAGATTCATGGAGAGTGTAGTGATAAAGAAAATTTTGTTTCTTATCGTGTTTCTTATGAGAGAATGTAATTGTGTGGCATTTGGAGCATTTGATCATAAAGTACACTAAGATCCTTCACGACCTTAACTCATGTTAAAGAAGAATCATGGAGAGTGTAGTGATAAAGAAAATTTTGTTTCTCATGTTAAAGGAGATTCATGGAGAGTGTAGTGATAAAGAAAATTTTGTTTCTTATCATGTTTCTTATGAGAGAATGTAATTGTGTGTCATTTGGAGCATTTGATCATAAAGTACACTAAGATCCTTCACGACCTTAACTCATGTTAAAGGAGAATCATGGAGAGTGTAGTGATAAAGAAAATGTTGTTTCTCATGTTAAAGGAGATTCATGGAGAGTGTAGTGATAAAGAAAATGTTGTTTCTTATCATGTTTCTTATGAGAGAATGTAATTGTGTGGCATTTGGAGCATTGAGAGCAAGTTTGTTATTACAGCACCAGGTTAGCACATTATTGATAGAATTTTGTAATTGAAAGCAATCAGGAGAAATAATTTTGGAATAGATTTTCAGATCGTCAGCAAATAATAAAAATTGAGTAGAAGGGAAAGCAAGATGGATATCATTAATAAATAAGAGAAACAAAACCGGTTCGAAATGTGACCCTTGCGAGGAAGCCGCAAAGGGACACGATTTAAATGATTTTACTTTGACTATTTGTTTTCCGTCGTAGAGAAAGCTGGTTAACGAATTCAAGAAAGGGCCGGTGAAGCCATACTCCATTAGTTTCCTTAACAGTATTGTGTGATTTACTTTATAAAAAGCTTTAGAGAAATCAGTGTACACTGAGTCTACTTGGTGTCCAGAGTTTATTGCATCTAAGATGTAATTTTGAAATGTGAGCAGGTTAGTAATAGTTGATCTGTCGGAGCAGAAAACCATGTTGCTGAGGTATGATAAAAGATTTTATGTCGTTTTTAAGTTAATTACAAATAATGGAATTAAATATCTTGGAGAACATGGATTGAATAGATCTGTAATTGGAAACATCAGTTCTCTCGCTGGCTTTATGTAGAGGACTGACAAAAGTGCATTTCCATATTAGGGAAAATACGTTTTTAACGACTGGTTCAGAATATAGTGTAGAGGAGCGATGAGAGCTGCAGAACAATTTTTAACTTTATATGTCATCTATCTTTTTATTTATGTCGTTTAGTGATTTTTCCAACTGAGCAAGATCAATATGATTATTTTTCAATTCACAAATAGTCTATTTTAATTCCTTTAAGGAATAATTCGAGTCTGTATCACAACGAAAACAAAAGAAAAGCAATTGTGTCTTGGCATCCTTCATAGCCTTGAGTTCATCGCGAGTCAAGATCATTCATTTAGTATGAATTGGTAAATTACATTTGAATGTGTCAGTAGCACCAATGTCTTTTTGACATTTTAAACACAAACTTACATCTAAACGCACCATTATTAACTTTTATAAAGAATGAAAAGAACACAAGCTTGTCATAAGAGGTTAGTGTTCGTGTTATCAGTCCTTTTTGTCTATTAGACTCTTGTCGGCACTGGATAGGCAATGTTGTGTCTCAACTACTGCCTTTGACTGACTCTTTCAGCCACAGACTGAGTGAGTCCTCCTGTCTGCTGCTCCGAGACACTCGACTCATCCTGTATCTATTTGACTCGTCTCAGCCCTGGACATTTCCTGTCTTACTTGGTGCTCTGAAAAGGACGCAAGGATCTTTTAAGACCGTGCCTAGCCGAAGGTCATATCGGTCCCCCGTGCCAGCACAAAATCATTTTGCAAGAAGGGAAATGACTCACTTCCGCATATGGTGTGTTGTGCAGTATCGTAGATTTTCGTACAGAGCCTTTTCCTTGCAGGGCTGGGGCCGCCTGACCAGCATTGCAGCCGAAGCTACTCCCATTCGATAGAGAAGGTAGCTCTTTCAAAACTCTGAGTGGAGGCGCACCCCTAGTGTAGGTATTTTTGACAGGCGTGTTGGTCCCAGTTTTTTATTTCAGTGGAGTACTAATGACCGCCTAGAAAGTAAATCTCTACTACCCTACAGGAGTCTTACCACATACCATTTCAAATCCAAACCTAATAATGGGCCTGGAACTTGTTTGCGCCCGTAGTTCACTCATGGACTATTGACTGTATTTGACTCATCGACCCACTCCCTTGGACATGTATGTTTCCCATTGGGGGGGGGGGCACAATGTCTTAGACTATGAGGTTCTTAACATGTGCACCTGGCACATATGCCTTATCTCATGTTTAGTTTCTCATGTTAGGAGCGACTCACCTCTGCTCACGGTAGGTAGTGTTAATACCGCGAGGTTCGGTGTAGACTTCTCCCACTTGCCCTGTCTGAAGGGGTGGGTCAACATTGTGCATTTAACCATGTGTTGCACGTAAATGGATACCTGAAAGGGCTGAAATGCATCAGCCGGTCTCCCAACACACTCCCTAGATAGAGAAGACAACTCTATCTCCCTGGGTGTAGGGGCGTCGCTAGCGTTGAAACTACCGGATCCACTCCGGCCACGGTTTTGTTTAAAGTGGAATTTCTAACCACCACCTAGATGAACCTGCCTTTGGTAAAGGATGCCCATGTGGGGGGCCCCAACCGAACAACGGCTCTTCTATAATTACCCGCCAGGGGTCTTACCTACAGCCAACAACGAATCTATTCTCATGTAGCACGCTACTGGGCTTGGAACCGAAGACACTGTGCTAGCCCACCATACATCTGGTTATGAACCCTCTCCGTCTATGCAGCCTTGGGCAGTTGATGTTGTGTCTCAACAGCTGCTTTCGACTGATTCTTTGAGACACCGATAGACTGAGTCATCCTCCTGACTCTGGCTGGCCGAGTCTGTCCTCCTTTATGCTGCTTACAACATACTTGAAAGTCGACTCATCTTGCATCATGCCTCTCTTCTCTTGAGGTCTTATCCATGCTTTTTTTTCATCACATCTGGCCACATTCATCCAAGAACTTCCTGCCAATATGAGTTTGGATTACTCATAATTAACATTCTCAAATTTGAGATCCTACTATTTATGACACTAATAAATGGCTTTGAATTTTCAATGTTTTCAATGTTCAATTCACAACATTCTATATCCCTATTACATTAAGTTATGATTTTCCATTCAAAATTTTATTTGATACATGGAGCATAGAAGGATTCTTAAATAAATAATTAAGTACTCTTTTCGTACATAAACTTTAATAGGCATGGTCCAGCCACCGGCCATTTATGAAATAAAGTGTTAATTAGTTTATTATTATTAGTTTCATTTTATTCTTTAATTAGGGATCTACAGATTCTTCAAGAACGTCAACGAAAGAAATGTGATAAATTAGAAGTTATATGCCAAGAGGAGGAAAATAATCACTGGCAAGATATAGCACAGTTTCAAGAAAAGAATAAGGTATTATGAAAGTTGAACTTCAACGAAAAACGCCCTTCTGTTGTTTGAATCTCTTTTTTTCAGGAAGCTGTCGTCTTGTTTCAAGACTTGGATGAAAGGATTAATTTTGTGGCGACTAAAGTTATTCACCTCGGCGATCAGCTGGAGAACATAAATATTCCGAGGTCGAGGGCAGTCGAAGCGCATAAACTGATGTGCTACTTTACAGAGTTTTTAAGCCCCGGTCCAGTTATATCAGAGGTTTTCACTAATAAAGATGAGGTATTAAATTTGCTATTATAATAAATTTTTAGTATTTATGTATTAACCACATCATGTCATTCTCTATATTTCACTGATTATAATCTGCATACTGTTTGGCTGAGACTGACATAGAACACTCAAACAAGACTTGAAAGACAGAAATCCAGTACTACTCTTTGAATTTCTTAATCAACATTTTTAAGCTTTATTGGAACAATAAACAATATAAAATTCACATTGAAGTCAATGTTAGCTTCCCGACTTTACCCTAGGGTTCAGCCAAAACCTATATCCAGAGAGCCTGGATCTCATAGTGCCTTCTTGTGATTTGGCTATTCTCTTCTAAGTCCAACCAAAATTAAGATTAAGCTTCCTCTTTATGACCTGACACCTTGTGCATGTCCCTTGATATCTGAGGTCCTAATTAAGCAGGCTTTTTACTAGATCTCAAAACTTTTTCAAGGACTCCTGGGTGTATCTTTCAGCCCGGGCTTTTCTTTTCCCAGTAGTAGAAATCTCAACTTACATAAGCCTTTGCACCAACAGAGGACTTGTACCACAATCTCTTCTTTTCTCTGGCAATATCTGTGCAGTCTTGTTTCTGCCACTCCGAGTCTATATACCTCTAGAGCCTAGTGTCCAGTTAGCAGTCCTAAGTTGTCACCCTAGATTTAGTAGCTCTGCTGTTAGGTTCTGTGATGGTAATGGTAAAAAAGGATATTAGGAAGTGGGGTTTGCACTCCCCAGGCACTGCAACCTTCTGGCTTTTGTACCTTCCTAGTTCCTTAGTTCAGTGCAGTAGACTCAATCCTTCTTCTTAGAAGTAATAGGTTATTGACTGTCGCTGTTGCAATTTGATTCCCTTTTTTCCGAACGTTAGGTTAAATCTCCATTGGGTGTTGCTTCGCATTCGAAGATGATATGAGTGGCTGTTTCCTCCTCCTCATTATCTGCAAATGGGATCATCGTTGTATATGCCCATGTTGTGTAGATGTTTTCTCAGATGCCAGTGACCGGTTAGTAGTCCTACCACTCCTCTGAGTTTGGCCCTCTCCAATTGCAGCAATGCTTTTGCCAGTCTTGGTGAGGGTTGTTTCATCATACGTTTACTATGTTTATTCACTTCTCCTTTTGTTTTGTTTGGATCCATTCTGCGATGGAGGATTCTATATTTGTTTTTGTTATCCCAAGAATAGGTTCGGGGCCTATGTATGGTCTTCCTCCTCTGACCAGACTGCTTTCTCGTTACCCAAAAATTCCCCTGTGCCCTGGCACCTAAGATATCATCAGGTTGTTGTGTTTCCCCAGGTTTTGGAGATTTTGGATGCATTCACTGACTAATTTTGATGTGATTCTTTTACATGCTAATGCTTTAATGGCTCCTTGGCTATCAGATCTTATAAGGATTTTTTTTTGTCAGTGTATCTTTTTTAAGAGGTTCTTAACATGTGCACCTGGCACATAGGCCTCCTTTTTTTGTACAGAAAACACCTGATCTGGTTCCTTCATTTGTTTTGATGCTCTCCTGTGTTCTTCCTCTCCTTTATAGTCAGTTGAGACTTTGTAGGAAGTTGTGAAGGTTATTTCCAGGATCATCAGTCCCCATTTCTAATAATAGGTGTCTGATTTTGTTGATTATGGTTGTATGCCCGAATTGTTTAATTCCTTTCCAATTTAATTGTTTCTGGAGCCTAAGTGAGCTTTTCCTAGCCTCTCCCTTGTATGAATATTTCCAATGGAGGTAGGGTTTCTAATGCATTTGTAGGGTTTGTTCTCATTGCCCCTGTAATACATAGGTTTGCTAGTCTTTGTATGCTGCATAATGTTTGGGTAGCTACTTTTTGTTGAGCTTTTTCTAGGTCTTGTTACTGCCGTGTATAGCCAATAGGCCATTTTCAGTTTTAATCCCCAAGATTTGCTTAAGGTGCCTTTCTTGTGGTCATTAGTGATATTTTACTTTTTGCTATAGTATAATGCAGGTGAGGGTTCCAGGTTAATTTCTTATCAAAGATTATTCCTAGGTATTTGACCTCATTTTTTAGTTGCAGCATTTCGTTATAGAAACGGAATCCTTGTATTTGTATATTTCTTTTCTCGGTGAAAGTAATTAAGGTGGTTTTTGAGGGGTTTACTTTAAGTCCCCGTTTTTTTTTATTATTATTTATTTTTTTGACAAGATATTTTCTAACAATAAGAAATTTACATACATATGTGTTTTTGAGGGAAAGTGGCGGGGCCCTATGCATCCTCTTTAGCATATCTCCATTTGTGTACCATACCTCCTGAAAAACATTATTGTCGATGTTGATGGGAAAATGTTCGTGAAAAACCCATTAACCTTTATTTTAACAAATCCTTTGCATTAACAAATCGTTACAGTATTGTTCAGAAACTGGAAGAACTAATTATTAATTTTAAGAAGAATAACAGTTATAACAAATGTCAGCAAAAATATATAGTAATTTAGTAAGTTGGTCTAATATTGTACAGGAATATTTAGTTTAAAATAAATAAATAAGTTAGTTTAAATAATTTAAATAAGTTAGTTTAACAAATTAGTGACAAATTAACAAGTTAACAGTATAATAAACTAACAAATCAGTAGGTTAGTGGTTAAATTTTTTCATAAGTTATTAAGTAACAGTTAAATAAGTGAGAAGGTTGAGATTCAGGAGGATAAAATATGTTTTATTCTCCTGTGCTTCCAAGATCTGAGACAATCATATGTGCCGATTGAAGCACATACGGAGTTTTCGCTGTAGGCTTTTTGAGAAAAAAATTTTTGGGTCCTGAATTTTAATTCCTCCTTAATCCATGGCATTTGAACTAAAGCATACAGGTCTGTGAGCCTTGTGTAACGTGGGGACGAGGTGGCTAGTCTTAAAAACTTGTTTTGTATTATTTGTAGCCCCTTAATGTGTCATGCTTGTGTAGCTCCAAGCAGGGCAAGCGTACAATATTATTGGTTTCACTATCACTTTGTAAATAGCTAACTTATTTGCTCAAAGATGATTCTCGACTTAAAAAGGGGAAAAGAGTCTTAATCATTATTTTGCCTCTCTTTATCAACGAGTTAACATGTTCAGTGAAATTCAGTTTGTGGTCCAGTTTCCCCCTTGGTTTTTTTCCTTTTGGGGTCCACGGTATGTTTACCCCGTCAAGCATGATTTGTTTATCGAGAGAGGGTCGCCGCCTAGTAAAGAATATCGATTCTGTTTTTACAGTGTTTAAGGTTAACTTCCATCTGTGGCAGAATCGTACTATTTTTTGTAAAGCCAAGTTCAAATTGTTTGCTATAGCAGTCTGTCTCCAGGAGGAACAATATATTACGATGTCGTCAGCGTAAAGGGCCAACTTGCAGTTTGATTTATCTAGTGTAGGGAAAGTCCCTGTTTTAAACACCATCGTTCCACCAGGTTTAGTGGAGTTTGGGTTCTTTGGGTGAGCTCTTTTAATGTTGAATTGAATTTTCTCCTGACTAGTATGGCAATGTCATCTGCATAGCCTTGGGTATAGATTCTACTTTCATTTAGTTTGCATATGAGGTCGTCCACTACCACACTCCACAGCAGAGGCGAGAGTATTCCTTCTTGCAGACACCCTCTCTCCACCGCTGTTCTATTTTTTCGTGGAACATGGAGGCCTGCACTTTTCTGCTTTTTAGCATTGATTCTATCCATGTGCAACAGGCTTTGTCGGTTCCTCGCTATTGAGTGATGCAACCATTGCTTCAAAAGGAGTATTGTCAAATGCTCCTTCAATGTCCAAGAAGGTTCCCAATGCTATTTCTTGGTTGTTCAGTGAATCCTCAATTTGTATCGTCAATTGATGTAGTGCTGATTCACATGATTTTCCTTTCTGATAGGCATGCTGATATTTGTCAAGGGGTTTTTCTTTTAGAGAACTGCCCCTTATATGTTTTTCAACTAGCCTTTCAAGAGTTTTGAGTAGAAAGGATGTTAGACTAATCGGTCTATACGATTTTGCGTCTGTGTAGTTATTCCGAGCAACTTTAGGAATGAAAACTACTTTTGCCGTTCTCCATATGCTTGGGATGTATCCCACTGCCAGACAGCCTCTGTATAGTATACACAGTTGGAGTGTGGGGCTAGGATAGGGTGTAAGGTGGGAAGAGGGGTAAGGTGTCGGATTTGGGATTAGGAGGTGTCAGTTTGGCATGCCGCAAAAGGGTTCAGAGCCAATAAGTTTCTCATCAAACTTTCCCCGTTTCCCCTCTGGCCCTGTGTGGCCTGAAATCCAGACAGGGGGACAAATGTCTGACAGCCCTAATGCAATTCCAAACGACTCTGGGCTTTACCACTGATCCAGTAATGCCCTCAGTGTCATCACAAGTAGATGCCTATTCTTCTGTTAATCCAGCCTTTTAATCTCCTTGGCACAGTGTTCAAAGCCACAATATCTGCTTGAAAGACAGTGATATTGATACTTTGAGCATTCTATACATGTATAATGATTTTTTAAACATATTTTACTGTTATTGCTATAAATTTTTCAAATTTTTTTTTAGCTGTTTGAAGCTGCTGATTTAATTCAAAAGTTGCACATGATAGCACAAGAGCTCCCAGCAGCAAAGTAAGTTTAGGTTGCAAATTAATATAATAAAGATGATTGTTTATTTATAAAACTTAAATGTTTAACTTTTTTTGGCATAGGTTTGAAGAGGCGAGGAAAAAGATTGCTCTCAAATATGATGAAATTGAGAGATCACTAATTGAAGAACTCGTCAAAGCTCATAACGTAGACGATCGCTCAAGAATGAAAGAAATCACGTCAATTCTTTCACATTTCAAAGCGTACAGTGAAGGGATAGATGCTTTCATCCAGGAAAGTCAATGTGTAAGTGTTCAATGGTTTACAACTATTGATTATTTCTATTAAAACCATTTTTTTTATTAGGCATAATTAGGAAAAAATTGCACTTAGTATGTAATTTCTAATAAAATGACAGGCAGAACATTCCCATTTGTAAATATTATTTTTCTTTTTTTAATATAATTATATAATTTTTAATTTATAAAATCAATTTACTTTTAATAATTGAGTATGTTTTGTTTCAAAAAATAACTAAAAGTGTGAAATAAATAATTGTTCAGAAAAAAATGAACAAATATAATATTTATAGTTCTATAATTATCTATCCTCTTGGTCTGTCTATCATCACTTATTTTGTAAGTCAGACGTGTTTTGCCATTTTGTCATCTTCAGTGTTGCGTTTTTGGGTGATTTCTGCAGAACCTGGAAACCAAACTCCAACCAGATGCCGAAACGCTTCTGACAAAATCAGCAAGGATAGGCATTCCAAGAAGGTAAATAACTATCAAACTATAAGTTCATCACCCCGAAGACCATGGGAGGAATTCTCACACAGATAAAATTAAATTTTAGTAAAGTTTTAACTTTTTTTCTAACTATAGTGTTTCCCCTAGCATTGAGTATATCCTGAAAATGCCTCAGCATATTTTCTACCAGCCTGGAGGTTATCCCACTCTTCTAGAAGAGCCCATTCAAGATTCTGGAACGTTTCTGGAAGGGCTGCACAAGCTCTTACTTGTCTCCTGAGTATATTCCATACTCAATGGGATTTAAGTTGGGTAAACTGTGAGGTTGACATTTTCCAGAAATGTTTGTACTATGCGAGAAACTGAATGGGCATTATTATTTATAGGAATATGATTTACACTGTCAACAACCGGCAATTCTATGACTTTATTAAAATCCCTGCCCAAACCGTCAGAAAAGGTCGGCTCTGGGGAAAATTTTCATTTGCATAACTCTCATTTTGTCTTGTGTACACCCTTTTGTGCCCATCTGGAGATGGTAGAGCAAATTTGGACATCTGTAAAAAGTAGAGTTGACCTTTAGACTAATGGCTGTATTCTTGGGCAAAGCCATGAAACTCAGTGTGTTCTGGACAGTTCAGGTCCTCTGACAGGGCGAAAAGCCATTAACCCATTCAACCTTCCCTGCAGTTCATTCAAAGATTGGTACTCCTTGAACTTCCTGCTTTATGAATCGTATGATAAAAGTGCCAATTTAGTAAAATTCCCAGCCTCAAAAAAGGAAAAAAAAACCAGCACCTTGAGGGTTTATACACTTGAATGCTTAAAATAAAGCAATTGATTTGATTAGGATTCAAATGAGTCTGTATAAACTCAGCTCAAAGTAAACATTAAAAAGGTTAGATCAGCAGGAAGCTCTCACATATCAAGAGTCGACAGGTGGCGGCTGATAGAATAAGGGTCATCCTTCTTACCCAATTAAGGATAAGCCATGCAAGGTTGACGGACCCTTAATTTCGGGCTAAAGCTTGCGTGTGTGTCAGGCAAGTGAGAAAAGTTCGATGTGTCAAACTTAATTCCTCGGCATGGATTCAATGCCCAGTGCAAGAATTGTTCTTGAGCACGGCAGCGAGTAGCTGGGTCTCCTGTTCCATTTTTAGAGGAGGACTGTTTTACTCTACATAGTACTTAATAGATTTCTCATTTTGGGTTTATTGATACTAAATGTATTTATTAGCGCGGAAGTGTAGTGTGAGAGGGCCAATGGTGGAATATTGAGTACCCAACCGACCCTTAATTTATTATATACTAGGAGGATACTAGGAAGCGGGGTTTTTGCTTCCCAGACACTTCAGCCTTCCGGCTTATTGTACCTTGTAATTAATTATTGTGTAGAGGGGGAGGGTGATTCTTTAGGCCTGCTGGTTATTTATTGTAAATTACAAAAGCTGGAATTACCAGTGGACTGCTGGAAAAGTTATAGGCTCAACTCTGTTCTTGCGTGTATGTACATCATTTGCAGATTTGGGCTTGTACAAATCAGTAATCAGTAAACATTGAAAATGAAAATACTTTTAGTCAACAGTAAGGATTAAATGTATTCAACTTTAAATGATGTTCCCAATTTAGAATTAGGATAGATTGAGATTTTCCTTAGACCAAGAAAATAGAAAAACTACACATAAGTGGGTTGAGTTTTTGCATGTCAATATACATTGTTTAAAAAATCAAGTTTGCCTAGATCAAAATCCATTTTAAGTGGTGTGATGAGATGATGATGATGATAAGGAAAGGAGACTAGGAAATGGGGGTTTACGTTCCCCAACCACTGCAACATTATGGCTTATTTATTTAGAAATCGTGAGATGCGGTCTGGTGTGATGTAGGTTTCAGAAAAACCTACATTTTCTGTTAGGTTTTCTGAAACCTACATCACACCAGACCGCATCTCATGATTTCTAAATAAATATCGATTAACAGTCACTAATCACCACACATTATGGCTTATTGTACTTTCACTTTTTTTTTAATTTTATTTTAAGAGTACTAGGTTATTGACTGTTATTATTACGTATCCTTTCCCTCAGTTTTCTTTGTATCTCCGGTTATGTCTCTACTGAAAGCAAAATTATTTTATGTATATTTAGATATAGATAAATCGAGTACTTTGAATAAATAAATTTGTCTGTTGGATTTCAGACGACCATAAGTGGTAAAGATATATTTAAAGATATTTTGCCTTTAACTCAAAAGAATTTTGTACTGATGAAAGAGGTCTTCAGTTCGCCTGAGCCAGTGATGGCAAAATTTGTATTAAATATTTATCATCTGAAGTTGCAGGTAATTTTTTTTAAATTAATTAATAATTTTTTAATTATGTTACATCTGGTTAAACTCGTATAGTTTTGATTCTGTAATGAATTATTTATATTTGTTTTAAGAATTACATTGGTACTGTGTTATCCAATCACACCGATGAAGACAAATATTTAATTAATCTGATGGATTTATATACTAAGTATAAAAAAAGCTTTAAAAACATAAATGACAGTGGGATTATGAGAATTTGTATTATTTTTATTTGTAGGACTGTTCAACTCTCGAAGGATTTTAGTTGTTTTAAAATGGGAACAGATGATACATACCTCAGCAAATTAACTCATACAATATTTCAAAAATATTTAGATTCGTACATAAGGTATTTTTACCCTTCCCCCAATAAATTTTTTAAATTATGAATAAATAAATAATAATTTGTTGCAACATAATTTCAGCACTGAAGTTGAATGTTTAAAAAGAAAATGTGCCCACCTCTTACAGCAGTACTATGATTCGAAAGATCATCAGAAGAAACAGCTACAAACACTAGGGTAAAGGATTTTTAATTGTGTATGTTTTCGATTTTTCATCCCCTTCGTACTAAACCTAAAACTATCTTCTTCCAGTGTCTTCCATTTCTCTCTTTCCTTTCTAACCACTACCAAGTAGTTTCCATCCCAAATAAACCTCCGTGCAATCCTCTGAAATCAATCACTTTTGGAGTCTCTCAAAACTTAAGCAACTCTGTTTCCCCCTTTTGCTGTGACATTGACTTCCATAAATCCATAAAATATTGCTACCGTCAACTTTACCATTACGACTCCCAAATTTATCTCCCTTCCCACCATAACCTGCAATTGTAAAAATTCAGAACGTAAACTCAATTGACTGTTTTTTTGGCTGTGTTTGGATCCAGCCATTTACAATTAAAAATCGTCCCCTTCTATCCCACCATCAAGAACTTTAGGATCGTTCTTAATCAGACCTTGTCCTGGTAGCCCCATTATCTCCAAGATTTCCTGCTGGTGTTTTTCCACCCTCTGTTCAGTCGTTCTACCTTCTCTTCAATATACATAAACTCCTGATTTTCCTCATTATTCTCCTCTGCTTTGATTACGAATGTGTTGTGCACAGGGACTCACAGGGGAGCTGAAAGATAAGCTTAAATGCCTAATTGTTTTGTACATTTTATCTTCAGCTCTGCAAGGAGGACCTGTCATCTGTCTGTAAAGACTATTTTTCATTCATTCATACCAACTTCAATGTACAATGAGAATTGTACCCAATTAGATTAGAAAAGAGTGCATTCAAGAGTGAGAGGGTTTAGATTTAAAAACAGATCAGACGGATAAGAGTGAGGTCTGTCCCCAAACTGCCAAAACCCGAGGTAGAGATGAGTGTGATATCATGCTCTCAGTATCTCCTTTAAGAGATGAGGAGCGATGACTATTCTGAAAGGGTTAATGTTTAATTTAATAAAACAAATATTTTTAAACAAATTTATTGTTGAAAGATTGTATTGTTGTAGTTGAAAGTTAAACATTTTGAATTTGAAATAGATATATTTTATTTTTTCTCTAGTTTTCAAGATTTGAGAAGGCTAGTTATTGCTAATAGAGCCATTAATAATATAACACAGCCTGATGATTATGGTGGTGAGACTTTTCTGTCAGAAGAGTTAGCTATATGCGTACTTCAGGAATCAAAAGTTGCTTTTAAGAGATGCCAAGTGGTAAGTAACACATTGAATTTGTAACACATAAATATATACTGTTCTGCCATAATTTTGACGCATAAATAATTTTTTTTAGCTGTCGAGGCCTTCAGAATTGCCTAGCAATGCCTTCCAGATTTTTGAAGAAATTTCGCAATGTCTTATCGTACAGTACGTAGATTATGCTATCGAATTAGGACTTCAGGCTATTCCGAGTGCAGAGAGTAAAACACAGCAGAAAATTTACTTTTTCGATATAGTACGCCAAGCAAATGTCATCGTTCATCTCATAGATAAGCATTTTACCGATTGCTTCATACCTCTCATTGTGTAAGTATAAATTATTGTTCAAACATATTTGCACTTACTGATTTTGTTTTGTGTTTAGTTCAACTCCAAAGTATGGAGATTATGCGTTGAAAAAGAAGTTTCATTTTTCCAACTTGGAGCAAAAGTTGAGCAATGGGATTGACAGGTATTTATTTGAAGGCATAGTTCCTTTGCTTAGCAATTTCATACAATTATCCATTTTTTCTGAATATCGGAAAAAAGTGTTTGAATTGTTTTATAATTTTTGAAAGCTGTTTTGAAGTTATTGGACAAGAGAAATGTGTTCAAAATGGTGGGTAGCAAGTGCTGTAGGATTTTGCTAGGATTTTTTTTCCAAAATTAAAGATCCCACACCAATAACAAATAAATCTGATGTAATCTACAAGATCAACTGTTTAAACTGTCCGGCAACTTACATCGGTCTTACATCCCAATATCTGGACAAGAGAGTAAAGCAACATATCTATGATTGCAAAAAACCTAAGCAAAATCCTACAGCACCATTTTAAACACCAAGACAATTTCGACTTCAACAATCCAAAAATATTATACACAGAACAAAACAAACATAAACGTAATTTCTTAGAAATGGTTTATATCAACAGAGATAAACACAGCATCAATTACAGAACAGATACATGTAAACTCAGTCGCAGCTACGCCAATATCATTAATCAAATTCAATACAGATAACATACCTATATCATCACATTACATTCCACACATCAAATATTTTTCACATAGTCTAATTTCCCAACAATTTAGCTTTCCTTTTCCTATTTATCCCTTTCTATATAATCCTGAAAGGATAATCTGGCCGAACCATTACCAACACATTTTTTCCCTTCGTCGGCTCTTTTCACCTCAAAGAAGCCGACGCCTTATACAAAAATGTCTTTTCTATACCGACATCCTTCCCCACCCCTTCAAAATCCAACGTATATAAACACAAAATAGCAAAATCTCACTGGCACTCTCGACACGACACGCAAGAATGGCACAATTACACAGAAGACAAACACTTTGAGTGAGTAGAAATACTTTGATTGAATATATAAAATATATTTTGCATTGTATAAATTCACTTTTCCACATCCAAAATGTAATTGTTATATGTAAACAATGTTTGTAAATCCCAGGCCCTGAAGATGATCTCAATAAAGATCGAAACGTTGGCACGATAAAGAAAATGTTTTCTGAAACCTACGTCACACCAGACCGCATCTCATGATTTCTAAATAAATAAAAATATAAACATATGCAAAAAAAATTAGCTTAACAATTATTTTATTCCATACACAAAACTTATTCGAATACACATATATTGTCAATTTATCATTAAAACACCTTTTTTTTTTACTATATTTAACGTTTTATTAATTTCCTCTTTGTTCACTCATTTTTAAGCAGTAGGTAGGTGTATTATACATAAGAAAAACAGTCTTTCATTTTTTAGTATGAAGGGAGATGATGGATTTACTGAACAAAAGAAATTCTCAAAAATTGTCTAAGCTGATCTTGGTTTATCACTCGACTCTCCTTCTCACTCACTCACACTCTCTCACTCTCCCTTTCTCATTCTCTCTCTCACACCCTCATTCACTTAATCTGTCTCTCACTCACTTTCCTTCTTTCTCACACACTCTCACTCTCTCTCCCTTTCTCATTCATTCACTTTCTTTCTCTCGCTCGCTCGCACTCACTCACTCACTCTTTCTCCCACTCTCTCTTTCTCTGTATCTCTCTCTCTCTCTCTCTCATTTTCTCACTCACTCACTTTTTCTTTTTTCCAGTCTCTCAGTTCCGTGCAACCATTGGCATGTGCAATGAATTATCAAGTATTCTATTTAAAATGTGCCAGAAGAGGAGAAATTTTCAGTGTGATACAATTACAAGTTAAAAGGAATAACTTACAATTTATAGTCTTTTCAATGTATGGAGAGAAAGAGAGAAGTCCCCTAAGATTAACAATATGGTCACAATTTTGTTTTATAAATGTAGCATTTGAATTAATGAAGGTTTGATGTTAACATATAGTTTAATAAATTGACATTAAACACATAATACCAAATATGAAAATAGAAATAATAGTAGTAGCAATATTAAGAATTTAGGGGAAAATAATAATAAAGAATACTCTGTCTTGGGTGATCATAATTACAAACTATAATCTTAAAAGTTGAGAAAAGGAAGCTTCCTTCGTAGTAAAAGGACCTAATGATATAGTAGACTAACCAATCTTTTCAAAGTAAGGAAGTACCTGCAACTTTATAACTTTTCTCATTTTGTACTTGTGGTGATAATAATACTGAATTATGATATCCTCACTACTAGAATCATTAGGTATTTTATAGGGGGTTGAGTAAGGAATGAAGCGCACTAGATAATTGCTTCACCAACAGCCTATATAAAACTGATTAATTTTCTATTCAAACCACAAACAATTTGGCAATATGGTCTACTCGACTTGTCACCCCGTGTGAGCAGGCCCGTAAGGTGTGTTCTCACAATTCAACGTTCGTTGTCACCACAAAAGTTGAAAACGACTTGAATCAGTTTTGATTTACATGTTTCAATAGAAATTAATCTATTTTTAATTTGAAAACCATTGTTCTTTTTTATATAATTATTTTAATATTTATTCAGAAATTGTGAGATGCGGTCTGGTGTGATGTAGGTTTCAGAAAAACATTTTCTTTATCGTGCCTTGTGAAAATGTTTTTCTGAAACCTACATCACACCAAACCGCATCTCACAATTTCTGAATAAATATCGATTAACGGTCACTAATCACTACACATATTTTAATATTGTTCTTTTTTTTCTTTTTTCTAATCAGCAATAGTAAATTCGGCAATTTTTTATTTATTTATTTTTTTTTTTACAATAAAACTGAATGCATTTTTGTTTATACTCAAGTCAAGTCATTAAGCTGTGAGGTTTATAAACCATAAATATTGGTAACTTTGGTACCAAAGACGCTTCACAGCATTGCCTGGTAATCTTTGGCAAAAGTCTTAATTTTGCAATAACTTCAGCAGTTCCAAGGCAAAATTTTTCTTATTTTAGTATTACACATCAAGTTTACTTGTTGCTTTTTAAACCTTAATGATTTTATTTAAAAAAAATCACGTACAAAATGTAAAAACTGAACAGGAAACAGTCAACCGAGATGTTCACTTGTTTCAAGTTATGTTTCAACTTGAAAGGAAGTCTCGACTTGAAGGACAAAAGTTTGGCTGGTTCAAACTTTAGTTTGAATCATGAGAATGCACCTTAAAGATTAAAGATAATGTTAAAGACAAATAGCCCATACAATGTTTTATTATTTTTTTAGGTTAGTAAGCAGATAGGCTTTATTTGTTTGAAATTAAAAATAATCCTAAGATGTTTTGAATTTATGAAATTTTTGGTACACAAAACCTACGAATGTATGCACAAGGGATAAGGAATGAATCTATATTATCTTATTTTAGATCAATCAATGCTATGGTCGGATGGATTAAGATATTTTTACAAAATGAGCAAAAGAAAACTGATTTTAAACCCGATATGGATTTTGATATTATGCAACAACCAACATTATCATCTCAGGTATTTTGAAAATTTCAGAACAGCTTTTTCCATGATTTTACCATAAAAACAGATATTTTATTAAAATATCATTCACAACTTGTGTCTCGTCATTTTTTCAGCCGTGCTTAAAAGTAGTAAAATATATTACCGATAATTTAACCCATATAAGAGATTCTTTAGACGGAAGGAACCGTGAATACGTGATGACAGAATTTGGCTGTCGATTCCATAGAATAATATATGAACATCTACAAACTTTCCAATATAACTCTACTGGTAAGTAGTTTAATAAATAAACATTTCCTTAGTAAAATGTAATTACTTTTTACATCTATTTTCAGGTGCTATGTGTGTTATATGTGACATAAATGAATATAGGAAATGCATAAAAGAGTTAAAATCACCTTTAGTGGACACATTATTTGATACTCTCCATGCATTGTGCAATTTATTACTTGTTAAACCTGAAAATCTCAATCAAGTTTGCAATGGAGAAAATTTGGTAATTATATATATATTTTTTTTTATATTTGAAGCCATTAAATGATACAAATTCGATCACAATAATTTCACAAGGTCACAGCACTAAAACTAAGCTGCACATACAGAGGACACATGCCAATGCTGACACTCAGTGTGTGGGATTAGGATGCAAGGAAGTCTTGCAATGGACAAGGAAGGCCACTGTCTATTAAAGCGACATGGCAGGTTCTCGCGATGAGAATGTGTAGAGGGGCCACAAGCAGTAGGGTGATGATCAAGAAGTTGGTGTGAAACTTCTGGAACTGGGAACGGATCATTTCATTCTGAACTTTGACAATTTGTCTAAGGACTTTTGATTGGAAGGATTGGACGCTGGATAGCTTGGCAGAACCCCACTATTCCATATGTCCAAAGTGGTCACAGTAAAATCTTGTGTAGGGTTGGTGGCCACAACTTTTTAGGTGTTAGCATGGTGCTAATCACTGTATGATAAAGGACATACAAATGGGCCTTTTTTCAAAAACACCGGCACCCTGGGGGTTCATATAACCTCGTACTTGAAATACCCTCATTTAAAAAATAAAAAATAAAAAAAATTTAGTTTACTTTTGACAATCAACACATATTTCGGTCCTAAAAATCTTGGTAGTTGTTCAAGTTCTGTTAAGTTGTCTTTTAAGTTTTATATGGTATTCCACATCTGCTGTCTAGATATATTTCTAAGTATTTGACATGGAAGGAAGTCGGTATCTCTTTATTGTTGATGTACAGTGGAGGGGAAGACTGTTTTTTACACTGTAGATGTATACTGAATACATTTTAATTCATTCACTCTTGTTTGGTCCCCTCTTTTTGTTGCAGTCTTCGATAAGCTCAGGGTGTTCTTGGATGTTGGAGGCAGCTTGAAATAGGATTTGAGGTAGAGGACAATAGTGCAGTATCATCTGTGTAGGTTGTGTTAATGGTATTAGGGTAGATCAGGAGTTTTTTTTCTGCCATTGATAGTAACCCTGACATTGAGGATTTTATTTCTCCCTAAAAAAACAGGATGGGACCAACAATACTCCCCTGTGGGACGCCATGACCCAACTAAAGGATTTTTCATGGTTTTCTTTTATCCTAACTTATGGAATCGTAGGGATTTCCTTTCTCTTTTGTAGATGTAGATATAATTGCAGGGTATAGTATACTGCGCCCTTTAAGAGCTATTGTATCCCCCGTTCTCTGCCTAAAGCACATTGGTGAGTCCTATTTCATCAAGAAACTTGATTAATAGGCCCGGTTTCAGTGGTTGAACCTCTTCTATGGTCACATTATACATCCCAAAACATTTCCTCCTGCGGGCTAGTGTGGCTCCGCAGTTTGTTAGTAAATGTGTTGGTGCCTCTTCTGCCTCCTTGCAGAATCTACATGTGCCATCTTGGATTGTTCCAATTTTCTTTAAGTGTCCATTTAATCTACAGTGTCCTGTTAGGATTCGCAGTCTGTTCCTGCTCCCTTTGACACATTCTGTGATTTCTTTTCTACCAAAGTTGGTTAGAAAATTCTTGGATTGTCTATGTCTAATGAGTGAATTCCATTGTTCCTTCATTTTCTTTTTGTCCTTCTGTCTGAGATATTCGTTTATAGTGTGAATTCCTATGCCACAGAAGGGTTCAGGTCCTATCAGCGATGTGGCAGCCCCTTTCCTTGCAAGGGTGTCCGCTTTCTCATTCCCTTCTACTACCATGTGACCTGGGACCCAGCAGAGGCTGACTTTATTCTGCATACCTAATGTGTTTAATTTGGTTTTGCAATTCAGCACCATCCTTGAACTAATGGTACTTGAGCTTAGTGCTTTGATGGCTGCTTGGCTATCTGACATTATAGCTATATTCTTGTTTTTGTACCCTTTGCTTAGATTGAATTGGATACATCTTTCAATTGCATGAATCTCAGCTTGGAAGATACTGGTGTGTTTTCCCATGGGTTCTGAGTATTTGGTTCCAGGTCCAAATACTTCTGCCCCATACCTTCTTGTGTTCTAGATCCATCTGTGTACCAGAGGATGGTGCCATTTTTAAAAGAGTTATTTCCCTCTCCTTCCCATTCTTTTTTGGTACCCAGGTGTATATGGAATTTTTGATTAAATTCAAACATCCTGTTCATGTTGTCTCTTGGAGCCATGAGTGATGGATGGTCTTTCCATAGTTTGTTGTTATCTCTCCATTTCAGTTTTATTCCTGTTGGAGGTTTCTCTTTGATAAGGTTGATGATGGTTTTCTGCGCTGTCCTTTCTACCATGTGATATAGGGGGATTAATCCTAGTATTTTTTTCCATGCTAATTGTAGGACATGTTCTCATTGCTCCCGTTATGCAGATGCATGCAAGTCTCTGTATTTTTGTGAGTTCTTTCCTTTTGGTTATTTGTTCTGCTTTATCAGCCCAGGCTATAGCTCCGTATGTAAGTAAAGGTCTTACTATCATGATGTACATCCATAACAGGGTTTCCGGTCTGCATCCCCAGTTTCTTCCTGCTATTCTTCTGCACACCATCAAAGCTCGTGTTGCCTTCATGATGGTTGAGCTGATGTGTTTCTTAAATGTTTGTGTTTTATCTAGTGTGATGCCCAGATATTTGACTTCATTTTTGATTTCTATCACAGTGTTATTGAGTATTATTTCCCTCATGTGATCAAGTTTCCTTTTCCGTATGAAAGCGACTATAGTTGTTTTGTTGGGATTGATCCCTAAGCCAGCGCTTTTACACCATTCTTCTGTGATTTTTAGTCCTTCTTGGATTATATCGCAGAGTTTCCTCAAATTTCCCCCTGGCAGTCAGGACTATGTCATCCGCATATCCCTGACATTTTATTCCTGATCTTTCTCTTTTACTCTGCTAATGGTTTTCCTGGAAGATTTGCGTTTATTTCATGAAGTACTGGGAAAGGAGGGGGGTCAGTGGCCACAACAGTTAAGGCGTTAATGTGGCGCTCATCACTGTAAGGTAAAGGTTCCGCGTTCGAATGCAGGGCCGCTGAATTCAAACCCGACATACTTAGTTCTTTTTTGAAAAACACCGACACCCCGTGGGTTGATACACAAGTACGGAATTTTTCTCAGGAATATTGTATCGAAACCCAGTACTATAAACTTTTTCCTCTATATTGCAGGGCATTTGTATAAGATATGCTCTACTTTCACCCTTTTCTAAAGCTAGTCGGCATTGGCCAGGTATTAATAGTGAAATGTTTTGGTATTTTGCTGGAGCATGTCCTTAAATTTACCTCAGTTAGGCCGTCTACACACGGAAGAACTCAAAATCACTACTTTCTTTAGTGAAATCATGGAAATTATCCTTGTCATTGTTAATTTGATGATTCTAGCGATGAAGTCATATTCCTCCAGTACTATAATCGTTCCAACTTCTTGCCTTTCAACTTCTCTCAAAAATAATATGGTCCATCTTAAAAATGACCTAAAACTGAGCAATTTCCACTTCTGTGTTTTTCACCTTTCCTTCTACCAACGATCCTCTTGACATGGTTGTCATCTTTTGTTATTTTCCATTTTGTAAAAGCATTTTATTTTTGTATGTGTTTATAAATAAAAAAGACATAATAAGTAGTAATAATAATACGTCACTAAACAGTAGCGTTGTCTGTGGTAAGCTTTTCTGTAATTGATTCATTGTGGTAGGCTATAGGGATAGGAATAAGAGAGGCGGCCACAAGGCCTACTGCACCTCGACCTAAATAGATCTATCGTGCTCCTCTGTTAATTATAACTCACGGGCAAGCTTCAGGCTATTAACCAGCCTCCACAGCTTTGCCAGCGGTTCCTTGGTGTAGGATCTTGCTTGTGGTTTTTCCTTGTCCTAGTTGCAAGAACCTGCACCTAATTGGTTGTAACTCAAGCACTAACAGTTTCTTTTGAGTACCTTTGTGTAAAGATGACCTTAGGGTTTTTAATTCCCTATGGTCAAATGGGGTCAAAACAGATTTTAGACTTAAAAGTTTGTATTTGTCCAAGTCTCTTGTGTGGGGATTCTATGACAGTCTGTTGTCTAGGTATAGTCTTAAATATCTGATTTGAGTGGAAGTCAGTAGCTCATTGTTGTTTGTTTATTAAATTCACTAATTTCGTGGTCCGCTTGACCAATTAATAAATTACAATTAATTAAGGTTTTTAGTTGAGATGAAAAAAGTTGATGGCACGAGCGGGATTCGAACCCACGATCTTCGGCTAGATACGCCGCTGCTCTACCACTTGAGCTATCGTGACCTCGNAGTTGATGTCCGAGTGGATCGAGGTCACGATAGCTCAAGTGGTAGAGCAGCGGGGTATCTAGCCGAAGATCGTGGGTTCGAATCCCGCTCGTGCCATTAACTTTTTTCATCTCAACTAAAAACCTTAATTAATTGTAATTAGTTATTTGTTTATAGGGGCAAGTTTTTTCAATGTAAATGTACACTGTAGGCATTTTTCCTAATTCAGTTTTTTCCATTTTTTGTACCAGTCTTTAATAAGCTCAGGGTGTTCTTGGATGTTGTGGGTAGCTTGGATTCGAGTTAGAGGATAAATTTGCCATATAGTCAACGGTGGTATTGGGATATGTAAGTAGGTACAAAAATGCTCCCTTGTGAGATGCCGGCTTGTATTGGTCTAACTGAAGGAACTCATTGTCGCATCTCACTCTGGAGCAGCGGTCAGTTAAGTAGGATTTCAGGATACAATAAGGAGTGGGTAGGAAGTGTTTAAGCGTGCCCGGGTGCCAAACTATCAAAATCGTGTGTAACACTTTAATAGATAAAATTACACATATTTTTTTTTATTCTGAGATAAAAAAGCAGTCATGAATGTTAAACCCATGAAAACTGTATTCTGATGTTTTAACCTCCTGATCCATCTGGGTCTCAGGCGCTCTAACCACCTGAACCATTGCGACTTCGATCCCCGAGACACAAAACACAGCAGGTTAAATTGTCGGGGTACAGTTCTGTCAACTGTGGGTTTGAATACCATCCATGCAAATTTCATGAAAAAAAAAAATTGTGTACATATACTCAAGACAAAAAACCGGACGCTGCACGTATTTTGTTGTTTATTTCAAACAGTGTGTATTTTTATCATTATATTAATTACAATGTAATTATTTTAGTGTAAACCAAATCACAAATGCATGTTTTAATTTAAAAAAAATTAATTATGTTTTTGAAAGAATATTCACCAAGACAACCAAAAATAATCTAGTGGTAGATTAAAATTTAATAACAATTTTTTACCTAGTTTTGCTCTTAATGTGTTACTAATAATTGGTGCAACAGTCCTTGGCATTACTATGAGAAAAAAAAGGTAATAAATTGTTTATTAAATGTATTTGATCACAAAATGATTTTCCGGTGTTTGGTTGAATTTTCTTTCAATCATCCTAATTAAACAATTTTTATTAAAACATAAAATTTTGGTCTTGATTACTTTGGTTAACATTAAAATAAGTACGTTGCAATTAGTATAACAATAAAAATACATGTAGTTTCAAATAAACAATAAAATACGAGTGTTTTTTTTTCCCTTTGAATATATAAGAATATAAATGAAAACAATAATCTTAAGTAATCTTTTTTTTTTTTTCAGGCTCCTTTAGAGGGATCAATTTTACTCAACTTCATTCAGCTGAGGACTGATTACAAAACTCAAAAGTTAGCAAATTTTCTAAAAGGCATTACTACGTGATAACCAACCCCAAATTATTACTCATCCTTATTATATTATGTTGTTATTAATAATACTATATAAAAGTGTATTTATCATTTATTTTTATATATAATCTTCATTATTTTGTGTTTTATCTTTCCTGCTCATCTCTCAACACAAGCAACCAAAAAATATACTAAATAAGTGTAATTTATTTTGTAAGAATAAAAAAGTGATATAGTCAAGAAAATTTACTTGTTATATATGTATATATATTTTTTCAGCCATCATATCTTGTGTAGAAATAAATGTTAAAATTTTTTATTTAATAAAAACTATCATAACAGTCGTAATAGCTTTATTTAAAGATATTATTAATATATTGGCGTAGAATTATATCCGGTTCGAAGAACAGAAAATTTCAGTCATCTTTTGTGAATTTATGACGTAACTATTTTCAGGGAAACAATAATTAAGTTAAAAAGAAAAAAAACCTTAAAATGTTTACAGAATAGTTTCATACTTCCAATGTTATTGTTATCGTTATCGCTTGCCTCCGATTGCTACTTTGATTCATTTCTCTGTAAACAAATCAGAATTTGTTTGACATTCCTTTAACGTGATCGTGTGAAATGGTATTTAATATTATGAAAATATTGGAAAAGAAAATGGTGACAGGCTCAATCGATACGTGACTCACAGAGGACCTAACTCATAGAAGGGACATCCTCATCTGATTAAGAATAGGTCATGCGAGATTTGAATGGGCCAAAGGGTCCGACATGTAGAGAAAAATTTGATGTGTCACACTTAATTCCTTTGCATATAGAGAGCGTGTAGGAATGCCACCCGATAAGAGAATTGTGCTTGAGCACAACAGCGAATATTTGGGTCCTTTTTTCTGATTTTTAGAAGAAATTACTGTTTTACAGTATATAGGACTTCATAGATATTTCATTTTGTTTCTTTCTGTAAATTGAGATATAGTGTGAGGCTGATGGCAGAATATTGAGTATGGTCCCAGAGTGAATGGTATGAAAATAGGAAAGGATGTATTTAAGAGTGGGTTTGGTTTAAGGAACTCATTGCGTTTGGTGTTTAAATGGCCTAAATGTTGGTTGACACAGGGACACTTTTGGGCCAAAGGGTATGTGTCCCACTAAAGGGTGTACTTGGCTCCATATAGAGTGCATGTAGGAATGCCACCCGATACAAGAATTGTGCTTTAGCTCTGCAGTATCTCTGTCCCCTCTTCCTACTTGTGGAAATGGTTGTTTTATTGCATATAGTACTGATATTTTGTGTCCCTAGTGTGTATTTATTGGCATGAATGTGTGTGTGAGAAAGAGAGAATGATGGAGTGTGTGATAGAGGAAAAGAGAGAGAAAGAGATAGAGAGCATGTGAGTGAGAGGAATCATGCATGCAAAATATCAAAACCGGCACAGGCTATATGAATATGAGATGGCTGATGTTAAATAAAGAAAAAAATCTCACAATACATTTTAGTTCTTTTGTTTCTTTATGAGATTTCTTAAAAGAGAACATTTGGGAAGAGTGTGTGAGAGTGAAAAGAGTGTGAGTGAGTAAGTGAAGACCTAGATCAGTTTAGACATATGAATTTTCGAGAATTTCTTTTCTTCAATGAATCCCTTACCTCCCTTCACTCCTAATAAATTAAATCAGTTTACATTTTTCTTCTGTTAAATATAGTATGCCTACTACTTAAAAATGAGTGAAAAAGTGTAAGAAAATGTCAATAAATAAATAAAAAACGGATTTTTTAAAGAAAAATTGACAATATGCATGTTCGAAAAGGTTTAATGTTCTCCTTAGAAGAAACTAATTTTCAAAGAGTGTCGGGACCGAATTTAGAGTCTCTGAGACCTGATCCCACCTGAACAATACAACATTGATGAGCGCTGTGTCGACTTTCATCATGGCGACCGCTCCCCTTGATGAAGGAACTAAGTATTCTTTCAAACTGGGTTCATCTCTGATTTTTTTTAATACAAATGAAAGAAAATACAATATTCACTGAAACTGTTTATATCCCAATTTTCTCAACCTTTTCCATTTGTTTTTATGATACAATTGTAATTTGAAATTAAACAACATTTAAAATTTTCATTATACTAATTTAATTCAGTTTGAACAGTGTATAAAAGGCAAAATTCTAAATGTTTTCGTTTGATAAATGATCATCGATTACTTGCACAGTTGTGTACATAAAATATTAAAATTTATTTTTTTAGGCAATTTTCACATAATTACAAAAATTTTATAAAAAAGAACAATTTTAATGATATCTTGATTCTTATTTTTCCATATCAACATGAAATGATCTCATCGCCTTGGAAAAGAATCCTGGAAAAAATAAACATTCAAGTTATAAATCATTTTCTAAGGTTCTTAGCTAGATTCCCCCCCCCCATGTCATGACTGTTGAATAGGAAATGTAAACATGTCTACAAAGTTTACACGACAGATGAAAATGAAATGTTCCTTTAGATATCAAGCAAATTTTGCACATTTTACAGATTCAAGGGTAGTGTTTTTTTTTAATTCAGATAAAATCGTGGGAAATACGAACCATGAAAGGTATAAGAAGGAAAACATAAAATACTCCTTCAGAAAATAATAGAAATAGTTGCAGTGAAGTATTTTTGTCCCATCCACCACCCTGCCCTACTTAGGGAGACATATACCAGCGGACCATGCCAAACAAAAAATGGGGGGAGGGAAACAGAAAAGGGAAATGTTTGAGCTTATCGTCCTCCTTGGACCTTTCTTTATAAATATGAGGCTTTAGGAGGGCATGGGAATTTATTTTCCTTATGTTTAATTTATCCTAAGCTAATGGGTCTCCCCTTGCTTGTTTCTTTTTACATTTTTATTATTACTATTTTTATTTTTTTTTAAATGGTTGTGACTAGTATGTCTATGTCTATTTCCTGTCTCACTAGTATGTGAGGAGAAGAATCCAACCTGGACTAACCTTATGAACCTATTAAAGTGAATTATACCTTTAATTAAATAATTATAGATAGATAGATAGACAAATAAATATAGATATAGATACATGAATAAATAAATAGATAAATATGCACTGTACATTTGACGGCCAAGAATTTTTATGCTTAATACTATGGGTGCCTGGAAACAGTTTAGGTCCTGAACAAGTTTGCTTAAAGTTGGGGGCCAACGGTAGCAGAAGAGGGCTTTTAGGTATTCTCTTTCTGGAAGTCTACAAGAGAGAATTTTGCCGTGCACGTCATCATCCACATTGCATTGGGGCTTAAAAGGCTATTGAACCTTTTGAATTTAAAGAGGTATGCCAAGAAGTTGCCATGTCTGTACAAGGCTTGCACGGCCTAGAAACCCAGAGACACCTAATTCGCTCATATCCTCTCCTCGATACGGTGGATTACTGGTTGGGATATTTAATAAATTACGGTAGTGTGTATCGCATTCTTTGCTGTTGTGTTCGAAATTCAGATGGCTCAAACCTAGTGAGCCTTACAGAGTGTGTACATGGCAAAACTAAATGCCGTATCCCTCACGGCAAGCATGATCAAAATAAAAATCACAACTTTTCTTTATTACGTACCAACTCACTCAGAACCTCAGAAGAAGAGCCTCTGTGGATCCTTTAATAAATAAGATTAAAGAACAATTAAAGTGTCTTTTGTGTGAGTGGCGAAGGGCTGATGGTGAAATACAGCGTCACCATTGCCCCTCCAACAGTGTGTTGATGCCCCCCTGCCATGTTTAGGGTTGACGGCAGAATATTTATAAAAGTTCTCCATTGACCCTAATTTAAATTAGCTTATTACTATGTGTAGGTCAATCAAGGAATATCGAATACTCCACCGACCGTCCAGAATGAGTGCAATGTGCATAGGTGTGAATGTATTTATTTGTGCGACTGAATATAGGTGGTAGTTTTAGGCTAGATTATATTTTGCATACATCGGGGGCTGAAATGACCTAGTTGTCGAAAGCCTTCATTTGAGACTAACTGTGTTGGTTGGGAAGCGATGATCTACTGAGCATCTGGCTTAAGGGGAATACTAGTGACCCAGGTGCATAACAGGGTAAGTGAACTCTCCTGAGGTACAGACCATAGTGCCAGCACATTGCGGAGGGAAGAAAGTCCAACAGTTAAAGAAAATGATGCAGTTGGGAAGAAGGTTGTGGATTCCCGGCCATATAGCGGTAGCCAGGAATGAAGAAGCAGACAGGACGGCCAAAGATGCTGCTGGAAGACCCAACGAAGCTTCCCAACCTGTACGCCCGGTGAATTTATATGGGTCAAGTAAAAGGAGAATGGACAAACTGTTGGGCCATAAAAGTAGATATAACCCTGCTCAATTGTAGCAGGTTAAGAAAGGCACTGTTCCCTCATCCACAGAAAACGGATCAAAAAGGGAAAAGGCCTTACTGACAAGATTACACATAGGTCATACAAGAATAACTCACAGGAATCTTCAGTCCAGAAAGCGAATGCTTAGATGCCCGTTATGCAAGAATAAAATAACTGTCAAGCACATTATCAATTGGAGAAGGCTTGACGTATTTAAGCAATATTTTGATACATTGTCAGACCTGTCCATAGTCTATGGCAGGGGTCGGCAACCTGCGGCCCTTTGCAACTTTTTGCGTGGCCCGCCAAAGCCCAATATAATTTTAGGAAAAATCAACAAACTTAGAGCGTGAGCGTGCCGAAATGTGGCCGGTGACAAAAATGCGCGCTAACAGAAGCATAGTGGGAAACCTATTTTACTGCGCGAGTTTAATCTCCACTCCCCATAATAATATTTATACTTGTATATGATATAAAAGCACTATTTAAGTTACATTTGAATGTGCGGCCCGCATCAAAAATTTTATTTTGAAAATGGCCCGCCGTCCAAAAAAGGTTGCCGACCCCTGGTCTAGGGGCACGACAGCAGGCACATATCGTTGTTCTGGTATCTCAGGGATATAGTGTTTGTGTTGTGTGACTGTGTTGTGTTTATGTTAATTTAATGGAATGAATGTAATTTATTAGTGTGAAAGAAAGGGGTTGCTTAAGCCCGAGGAATATTGAGGAGTGAATGTGTCCAGACTTCTTTGTATGTGGTAATGTGTATATATGTATTGTATATTTTATATCTATTCTGTAGTTGATAGTCTGAGGATAAACAACAGGCTAGCATTTCAGGATATCGACCTAGTTGTCGTATAAAAGTAGAGAATTGGTAACAGATCGAGATGACCAAATAACTGAAAAATACGCGTGAAAGACCAGAAAAAAAGTGCAAACATGCAGAGTGCTGGTGATGACCTAAGTTGCTTATCGGCCCCTATCAAAACATACAAACAAATTAATCATTTAATCATACCATAGGATTGTTAAAAAAAAAAAATTCTCGCAAAAACAGGCCTTTAACTTCGAATGATTCTCAAATGTTCATAGGAGAGGGTTTGAATTTGTTGCTCATCTGAAAAAATGACCTTCTCAACTCTAGAATCGGGGCTGCCTCTTTTTCTAAGCCATTCTTTCCTACAAAAATAAAAATTTATTACAAATTAATAATTAAAATTAGTAATAATGTATGATGTTTTGTGTACTATGATATGTTTTCAACATTTCTTTTTTTGTTTGCAGCATTATGATTGAAATTAACATGCCTGATTTCATTTTCTAGTTTTTTTTGGTTACTTTTCAGCGCTTTTCCCAAAGTGAATTTAGGTTTATAATAAATCTGTTGATTGATTTTGCATTGGTAAATTGCATTACAAGTTTTAGGGGCATTTAACTGTTATTATTCATGTCAATTTCAACTTTATTTGGGCCTAATACGATAGCAAATTGTTTTATAAATTTATGTTGTATAGTATCAAAACTAATTGTTAATTGTAAAATTTGATTGAGCCAGTTTTTTGTGGTATTTTAGTAGAACTTTATGGTATTTAGGTAAACTAGTTTTGATTTGATCTCATTGGCTTGGAGAGCTTTTAGAGCTTCCTGGCTATCCAATCTTATGTGCATATGCAATGTAATAATTACTTTAATTAGTAATTTGGCTTGAAAGGTGGTTGTGGTCGAGCCGAGGGTCATTCAGTGCTTTCATTTCGCATCTTTCAGCCCATATATGACAGAAGAGCTCCAGTTTTTTCTTCTTTTATTTTTCATTTGTTCTCTCTTTTCAATAGTTTTATTTTATTTTATTTATTTATTTATTTTCTAATTCTAGTATTTTCTCTGATGCATCAGTTTTATCAATGTGAGTCAGTTAAATGCTGTCAAATATTTTGTGAATGCCAGTGTTTGTTTGACGCTTTCTTTCTATTGGCCGATGAATTCTCAATTTATCTTGAGGAATTTTCCATTGTGACTGGAGTCGCATGCCATTTTTGATAATTTCAACTTCTACATAAATAATTTTTTAAAATAAAATAAGCAAAATTTATATACAGATATAATTCAATTGTTACTTACATAATTGCCAATTTAGGCACAAGACCTTGAAGCTCTCCAATAACCGTGTTCTTTGGTGAATGCTTTATGTATCCAACAAGGCCTAGACGTTCGGCTTCTCTAAATGCGTGCTATATAAAAAAGAAATTTAAAAAAAAAATTTAAAAAAGAAGCGTCTTCAAAAATGTATTTAAAAAGTCCTTGGAGCCATTCAATACTTACTGCTCGATAAAATACACCTGAAATGTAAAAAGAAGTTATTTAGATGGAGTAATCGACTCTCAATGTTAAAGGTTTGTTGTAAAATTTTTTACAAAATTTTTATAATATATTGATTTTGACTGATTTTTTGAAATAAGTCCGTACATAAAATGTTTCACTCTTTTTTACCAAATGATTGAACCTCAATAAGACATCCCTACTTGCTCCCTGTAAGGGGCCTGAGGTGTGCCACTCCTCGACCAAGTGGTACAGTGAGCAGCCTTTACAAGGAAGATCTAAGTCTACCCCGAATACAATCGGGTAGTGGCCACCTCAAGTGGGTGAGCATGATCCCTTCCTTGCGTTTTAGACCATAGGTGGGACATCGTTAAGCTGTGCTCTTGATATGCAAGAGCTTCTCAGACAATCTGCTGCCCATGTTCTTTTATTGCATTCATTACTGTTCATCCAGCTGTTCACCATCACCGGGTCAAACCACAGTGGTTTTGCCTAAAGAGCAAGACGTCCCAGCATTTGCCACCTTGCCTGCATGTCTATTGCCCTCCAGTCTAACATGACCAAGTACCCAGACGACTCCCACCATTTTAACAAGGTGCTTGAACTGAGCATATCTCCCTAATAAGAGCACTATAGAGCACATCAGTACTATATACTTAAAAAAAAAAAAATAAAAAAAATAGAAACAGGGACGACCTAAATACTCACTGCTGTGCTCAAACACTATTCTCATATTGAATGACATTCCTACCACTCTCTTATGGAGAGGCACCCTTCAATTAAATGGAACACAAACCTTGCTCTGCCAACCTTTTGGGCCAAAATCTGTGTATGTGTCCAAGTGTTTGCATGGCCTATTCTTAATAAGGTGAAGGTGACTCTTCTTCTACGATTCTCCGAAAGCCATCTATGATTACGGATGGTTAGGGGCCGTCTGTCGATAGAAATAGATGTAAGACTTCTCTGCTGATCTGGCCCTCTGATGATGTCTCTTACTTTTAATCATGTTTTTTAACGCATTTTTAGTGTCAGAGGGTCGGATCATGGTGGTTAAGTCCAGAGGTTGGGACGTCACAGCTTTAGCAGCTTTGTCTGCCTTTTCGTTACCCTCCAGTGTGACCAGGTACCACGAACACAACCACTGTTTTGCTGAGATGCTCCATTTCATGGTATCTCTCAAACATGAGCACAAGGGTCGATGGGGAATCTGACATGGACAGCAGTAACCACACTGAGGGAGACTGTGCAGAAGGTAGGCAGAACTACCATCGTCTCGAATCACCCCAAGCGTGTGCCAAATCGCATGCGATTCTGCTGTGTACACACCCTCACAATATACCGCACACGCCATACTGTCACCAGTCTTAGTGTGCCGAAAACAGGTGTACCTCAATCTAAGTTCCAAGTACTTAGCTCGGTAAAGGTATTGCAGAGTTGACAATGTGGCTAACATGGTGAAATCACCCCAAACGAGAAAGGCCAAAATGGCCCAGTCGGCCAGTTGCCAATGTCATCCCTGTCCTCCTTAAAGCTTTGCTGAAACATATTCCTGGAAGTTGCGTTCTGATCTGAGCCGCTAATATATTCTGTTGTACTTAGGATCACATCTGAAAGTGGATGTCCTGTTTTAGCCAGGAACCCAGCTGCATAGCATTAGTTTGTATGTCAGCACCCCCAGCTCGCAGCATAGGCTAGCCGGAGCATTGTATCCTCAGTGCTTTATATGCTTTTTAGGTCTTAGCTAGGACGATCAATTACATTTTATTTCATAAATTGTTTCTTTCTATGTTTGATAGTCTTTGTGAACATATTTTTTAGTCAAAATATTTAACGAAAAAATTGTTATCGTGTTCGATCCCGTTTCTGGATCAATCTTAAAACTATTATTTTATTTATGAGAAATGAACGCCCAAATGAAAGAATTCAAGTTTATCTGTATTTTTATTTTTATACCAAATTAATTTAATTTATGATAAACAATTTCTTACCTTTAACCGTTCCAAAAACTTCGAATTTCATGGTAGCCAGTTTGGGGCCGGACATTCTAGGAAGAGCCTCTTTTGAAAGCATTGTTTAATGGTGTTATTGTCAAAAATTTGAAATCAATTTGTTTTTGAAACCAGAAAAAAAATATTTTTGACAGATATTTGATATTATTTTTTTGATTTTATATGTTTTTTTAAAGATTTTTATCTGGATATTTATGAATTTAACGGAGAACAAAATGGTGCAATAGTAACCTAAAAAAAATTGGCGAACAACACGACAGAAATTATGCTTTTTCGATTCAAATATCGAAGAAAGCTCAAACGGAATAACGTTCAAAAATAATAATCGATTTATGAAATTTTATATTTGAGTTAAGCATAAATAATCGGGCGTTGTGCACAGAGGGGCAAAAAAACTGAATTTAAGCATGACATTTAAGGAATGTACGGCATTTTGTTTCAAATAATTTTTACAAAAAAAAAAATGTGTGGTGATTAGTGACCGTTAATCGATATTTATTTAGAAATCGTGAGATGCGATCTGGTGTGACGTATGTAAGCACAAAATAGCAAAATCTCACTGGCACCCTCGACACGACACGCAAGAATGGCACAATCACACAGAAGACAAACACTTTGAGTGAGTAGAAATACTTTGATTGAATATATAAATTCACTTTTCCACATCCAAAATGTAATTGTTATATGTAAACAATGTTTGTAAATCCCAGGCCCTGAAGATGATCTCAATAAAGATCGAAACGTTGGCACGATAAAGAAAATGTTTTTCTGAAACCTACATCACACCAGACCGCATCTCACGATTTCTAAATAAAGATTTTGTTAATTTTCAATCTGGCTTCCGAAAATTTCATAGTCGTGAGACAGCCTTCTCAAAATCTCAGATGATATTCACCTAGGTATTGGTGATAATAAGTGCACTATTATTGTTATAATTGATTTTTGCAAATGTATTTGGCTCCGTAAATCATCATTTTCTTACTTACAAACTGATATATTTTTTCGGTTCTTATCTACTGTCTGACTGAGTTCAAAGAGTTAAACTTCAAATCCCCTTTTCTTTCTCAATTTCAGCTGGTGTACCCCAAGGTTCTATTCTTGGAACTTTACTCTTTTCCATGTTCCTAAATGATGTTTCATTACTTCTTAAATTCTCCCGATTTTATCTACAGTGGACTATCGTTATTCGTAGGGGATATGTACCAAGCACCACTGCGGATAACGAGAACTGCGAGTAATAGAAAATGGATTGAATTTGAATTCAGACTTCAAAGCATTTCCTTTTATCTGCATACCAGTCAGTCACTTTCTGTATCGTGTGTGCTTATCGACATTGTTATGTAACAAAAATACAATGCACGGTAACAAAGTTTATCCCGCAAACAATATGTACATAAATCAACAGGCATGCACCTATACATAACATCACATGGTAGCTCTGTCAGGAGGAACCAGAGACATTGGCACATATCCTTTCTGAATGTGAAGTGTTAGCCCGGTTAAGGTGCACTCCGGTAAAGTAATTCTCACACTAAAAGAGGTGAAGAAAGTTCTTGTGAGAAAAAGTGTACTTTCCAAGGTATGACTATAATCTACAAGAGTTCCATAATAGATCTATATAGGTGGACTGGAGGAAAGAATTTTTTAAATCCTTAATCAACCCTCCAAATTTAAAAAAAAAAAAAAAGCATGATATTGAAACAAATGAGAAAAACTTATTAGGGCATAAAAAAATTAATTAAATTCCACGGAAGTAGATGGTGATGAATCAGTGAAGTTGCTCTTTCAGCTTTTTCAAAGAAAATTGTTATAGGAGGCTGCTTTGTCTGGTTTTTCAACTTGGAAATTTCGTTGGAGAGGGTCCATTGCTTGAGTTAGTAGACTTGTAACATTCATGCCTGCCGTTCCACTATTGGATCATATTCTACAATTTTCTTTTCCAAATTTTAAGCTAATTGAAAGATTTTGCTAAATTTTTCTATTGTTTGGTGAAGAGTTGGTCTCAACCAAAAACCTTAGATAAAAAGAATAATTAAATAAAATAATTAATATTGTCAATTATGACCACTAAACAAATACAATTTAAATTAATTATTAATGAATTAATGGGAAGAGTGAGATTGTTTTAGCCTGCAAAATTTGATATGTTGGGTTCAATTTTTGATACCTGGAGATGAATTTCGGGCTCAGCCTCTAGTCAGCTTCGGTATTTAGTTTTGTTGGCTGTATAGATAGAAAATCCGGATTCACATAGCTAAGTTCTGGCAAATTGAAGAACAGGTTTTGCTTTTTCAACGAGCGGTTGAAATTTTTTTTTTCCAGCTGTGGAGAAAAAAGTGGGTACGTTTCGGACTCGAAAGTAGATTTCGATGTAGAGTCTGAAGTAATGTCTAACGAACATTCATATTCACTTAAAGATAGACTGGTTGGCTTTGTCGAAACTGAAAACGGTTTAACCACCCATTCATGGTCTTGCAGCATTGTATCTCGAGCTGTTGAGAAGTAGTGCTCAAAGGACATTTCCAAACTTCGAATGTGGACGGGAAACACTCCTCAACATATTCAACCCAAAACTGGATTTTTCTTTTGAAGGCGCGAACTTTGTGATTAGCATGAAGTTATTACTTCTTTTAATTATTAAATTAATCCATATTTGTTTAATGGTTATAATTGACGATATTAATTATTCTTTTTATGTGAGGTTGAGATGAAAAATTATTGAAAATATGGCAAAAAGAAATAAAATTCAAACGATTGTAGTTTGAGATGAGGAGTTGGTGTCCAAGTGGATCGAAGACACGATAGCTCAACTGGTAGAGCAGCGGCGTATTAGCCGAAGGTCGTGGGTTCGAATCCCGCTCGTGACACTAATTTTTCATCTCAACCAAAAACCTTACTTAAAAATAACAATTAATTGGAAGGAACATTGCCATTTCTCATAATTGAATTGGTCAATGTGACATGTGGTCCATCAACGTAGATAAGACTTCAAAACTTAATTTCTGTAATCCTGAAAGAGCTTTCCCACGATTCAGCCACCTCACGTCTGTACGGAGAAGCAGGGAATGATAAAGGTTTCTCATATTGTCACATAGTATTGTGAAAAGTCATGACTTCAATAGCCGCTACTTGATATAATTAATAATTTGAACAGACTCGTTTAACTTTATTTCAAATCCAGTATCGAAAGTGAAATAGGCCGGATCATGTATAGATTAACCAGTTATGTTGAACCAGCTCTGGGTCTACTTGTGGATTTTTGATGCTTCTCAAAATTGTTCCTGCTTTGGGCCATCTTCAGTGAGGAACCGTTGACCCCAAGGCATATAAAAGTAGACTTGTGATCACTGACTCGCAGTCTAATTAACAACTTCAGCAATCAACTTCAATTATAAATACAAGTCTTCTTGTGGATGATTGTATTTTGGAGTTAAACTAGGAAGTGATATTTCGAATACTGTTTGTTCAAACTGACCCTTTTCAAACTGACAGAATAATCTCATCGACGTCAGTAATTACATCAAGTTGTACTAAATTTCAAAATTTCAAATAAAAATTGTACCATCCTGGGAAAAATATATTTTGGAATTGTGGCCAAATGCTGGAAAACAATAAATAACAATAATTCATTATTAATTCTCATCACATGAATGAGATTTGTTTTTAAGACCAATTTTCTAATGTTGTTCCATAATGACTTAGGTAGTACGTTATGATCGAGCATTTTATGAAAAGTACTTTTCTATTATTTTTGGTATAGATTTCTTGCTTTATTTCTTAAAATTTTAAACCTAGATAGGTCCAATTTTAAAAACATCATGAATGATTCTTCTTTTCTTTTCCTAATTTCCTTTTTTCTTCTTTCTCTTTTTGCTTTACTTTCTTAATATTATTAATGTTTTTGTATTTAGATTTATATAAGCTAAAATCTGCACATGTATTTACATATATACACACATATACAAAGTTGAGTCACTTCTTGTAGTCCACCGGCAATTCTAACATTTGTAGTTTATAATATATTTTTGGCAGTTGAGAATCATCCACCCCGAATGATGTCAGTCCAGGGTCAGACCTCGGTCTTATCCGACCAGCCATCGAGGTTGGGCTCCGGGAGCTATCAACATCTAGGTTTCAGCTCCCAATGCAATCACTCCAAATTCAAACCCATTCACACTCACATTCACTCTAACATATTCTTTCTCATTTATATACCGTTCTCTCACGAGGTGGAGTATTTGGCATTCCTCCATCACCCTCTACACATATAGCTAATCTAATTTAGCTGGGGTACTCAATATTCCACCATTAGCCCTCTACTTATTCACGCCAATAAATATATTCAATACTAAATTTATTTATATGATATGTACTGCTTTAAGCCCTATTTATTTGTACCTTTAAAATAAATAAATAAAAAATAATAGTGTAAGACAGCATAGCAAGCAGTTTATTTCAAATGAAACTTCTGAACAATTTCATAAAATCAGCTTTTATAATGCATCATTTCTTGGTGTAGTCGGTTAGATGTGATTGCTCATTGTCTACATAACAATTGTGCTAGTTAGTAAATCTAAATTTGTAAATATAAATTTACTAAAGAAAATCATCCGTAAAATCAAAAATTAAAAAAAAGGTTTTACCATTAAAGAAAATAAGTATGAGGTATGAAAGTTGCATGATTTATCATAAATATTTTTAGTATGAATAAAGGGTTTTGTTATTTAATTGATTATAAATCTGTTGTTTTTTTCCCGTGATAAAGAAAGAAGTGTTTATGTAAACCAAGTTCTGAGTCAATAATCAACAGCTAAGTCATCAGATTATTTTTCTTATTTAAGTAAACCAGTCGAATTCCTTTCCTTCATTCCTTCTGTGTTGTTCATCTTGTTCGAACTATTTTTACAGTCTAACGCGATGTTGGGTTCAAGTCAATCTAAGAGCATTGCTTCAAAGAGTGAAGAGCCTGAAGGAAAAAAGGACTTGGCCAGCAACTTATCGAGCCAAGAGGGTAAGTTTGACGATTCTGGAAGTCTGTCGTTTCTTGAGTCTGCGATTCCGGATCGGAACATTTCACAAAACCCGTCTACAAGCAGAGCTGCCACTGAGGAAGGGGAGTCGGCTCGCAAAGAAAAATTGCTCATAGGCTTTTTGGGCCTTGATAAAATGGGCAGTATAATAGTGCAACGATTGATAAACAACGGTTTTTCAGTGTTCATCTGGGATTACAGCAAGTGTAAGACGGAGGAGCTTTCTGTGGCTGGGGCAACAGCTTTGGACGGCGCCTCACACGTTATTACTTCTGCAGACATTATAATGTCGTGTTTCGACGATCCGGCTATCGCTGGACGAGTTTTTGACCAATATGTAAATCCTTTTATAAAAGAAGAAAAAGGTTTTGTGGAATTGTCAAGAATCGACAATCTCGAATCCAAATGTCATTATGACGAAATCAAAGCAAAAGGAGGAAGATATCTGGAAGCGCAATTGCTCGGTAGTCCGAATGAAGTTGAAAACAGCACTATTTCTCTTGTTTGCGCTGGGGACAATAGTCTCTGGGAAGAATCGCATGTCATATTCGAGTGTTTCGTTTCTGTGGATTTTTTTTATGGGCAGAAAGTCGGATACGCAACCAACATGAGCTGCATTTATCAACAGTATTATGGGATCTGTTTAGCCGGATGGGCTGAAACTCTTTCGCTCGCCAAAAAACTGGGCATCAAATTGTCGGATGTTTTGAAAGTAGTGAGTACAACAAAAAAATGTAGCCCTTTTATTGTGGAAATGGGAGAAAAATGTTCAGAACTCCTCTTTGAAGAAGACAGCCAGGCATTAGAAACTGTGAAGTTAGACATAAATCATGCTTTGCTGAAAAGTGATTTGTGTAAACATCCTATGCCAATCACTGCAATTGTCAAGGAGATATTTAAGACTGGAAATGAGTCCAAAAAGGCTGAAGATAAAAAATTCTTAGAATCTAAAAAGTAAGAAATTTTAATATATTTTTTAAAATAGATTTTATATACTTATAATTTTGAATAGAAATTAAAAGTTTAAATGTTTTGTAAAATGTAAAAATGTGTATGCTTACAATAATAATAAATAAAATTAAAAATTAAATGATTTTTTATCTTGGAAAAAAAAATCACAATTTATTATACTTATTTACCTAGCTCCCTTCCAAGCCAAAATTTTTGAATTTTATAAATATATTCAATTATAGTTGTTTTTGTTGTCATGGGTTGTTTTTCATTTTCATTGAGGTGTCAGCCAAGAAAGAGAAAAGACTAAAGTTCATTAAAGATTATTTTGGTGTGGCTACACCCGCTTTGGACCAAAGCATCAGACCAAAATTATCACTAAAGACCAAATTTCAGGTTCATCCTGAAGTTGACAGATAAATCTCACAAGAAAGAAGACTTTTTAAAAATAAAATGAACACTATTGGACCGTATTTTGTAGATGTATTCACTGAATATGGCTCTAAGAGAACCAAAACATTTAGAAATATAGTTTAAAAAAAAGTTTTCTTTCTTCCAAGTGGAAAGAATGATGACATGAACAAGTAACAAAAATATTTAATTATATATATTATTATTAAGTTTTTCTTTCATCAGTCGTTTTCCATTTTTGTAACTTTTTCATCGAGGTGCAGGCCAGGGAAGAGAAATATTGCAATTTGGTTGTTACAGATCATTTCGTATGCCTAGATATGCCTAAACCATCAGTCCAAAATGACCAGTAATGACCAAATTTCAGGTTCATCCCATAGACAAGAAAGAAGACTTTTTTGACAAGACTATCGTGTTATGACCAAAGTCTGATTTTATTACTTAAAAAGAGAATAAGGGTATAAATACAAACAAATCAAGCACATGAGGCCAAATTTACAACAGTCCAAACAAATGGTAAACCAAAATGGCATGTGGACGAGAAGCCCTAATCGCAAAACTTACTGCTGAATTTCCTTACAGGTTTATACATATTTTATAAGGGAAAATAAATCATCATTTGCTACAAAATGATAATATGAACCAAGAAAATAATAATAATTCATCAGAAGAAACATCCTGCCACAGAAACGATAAAATTGACTTGCCTGATGTGGCTAAAATAATCTAGATAATTATCACAATTCCTCCTTCCTCTTTCTTCTTTTGTTCTTTTCTTTTTATATCCAAGGTTGGTGTTATAATTTATGAATTGAATGAACAGAGCGTACACTTGCCAAGATCAGCCACAGGCAACAGTAGTAAATGCATCATTAGGCTTATCTTGGCAAGTGTACGTTTTGTATTTGTACCAGTATTTAAAAAAGCAAAAGTTAAGTTTAAAAAATATGGATCTGAAATTGCAGTTTTGTAGGCCAAATTTTTATATAACTAGGGTTGATGGGGTACTCAGTATTCTGTCATTGACCCTCTACTACACATGTATGCTAATAAATACATTCATTCACAATACAAAACTCAGTATTACATACAGTAAAACAACCCGTTCCTCCAAAAATCAAAACAGGAGGCCACAATACTCGCAGGCATACTCAAGCATGATTTTCATATCAGGTGGCATTCCTACATGCTCTATATATGGAGCCAAGGAATAGCAACTTTTTTTTAAAGTGGAACTCATCCAGCGTTTCTCTACAAGCCAGACAAATACAGGTGCTGTGGCCCAAAAATGTTCGTGTGTCAATCTCGCACGGCCAATACTTAATCGGTCAATAATGACTGTACATTTTTTGACCCCTCGTTACTTCCATCCAGGTTGTGCTGCACTTGCCAGCATGGAGGATGTACAATGTAACTGTACAAGAAATTCAACCCCTGAAACCGGGCCTACTAATCAAATTCCTTGATGAAGTAGGACTCACCGGCGGGCTATAGACACAGAATATGGGATACAACAGCTCTTAAAGGGTGCAGTATAATACACACCCGGACTAACACATCTACTGCCAGGTTGGATTTGACAATTTAACCCTCTCATTGTATAATTTTACTAAATTTTACTAAGCTTAATATGTATAGACAAGGGAGGGGCAAGATTTTGAGTTTAGGAAACAGGTTCAACAAGAATCCCTAGGAGAAATACCAGCTAGTATCCTTAAGGCCATGTTTTGGATTTTGGAGATGGAAATAGAGTGCGGGTCATTTCCCCATTTATATAAGCCATATAAGAGAAGTCAATGAAAATAGTCATAGTAGGCAGTGCGAAGAACCTTTGGAGACACTGGTCTCTCCAACCTTCTTAACAAAAAAATAATTTTAGAGCATTTGATATTTAGTGCTTCAATATGTGCTGACCAAGATAATTTCTACTACAAAGTAAAACCAAGATATTTGACAGGTAAATGATAATCATCCCAAGAGGAAAGGCCTTGTTGGGTCTTGTTCAGGTTCAGTACTAATCTGTTAGCCAAAAATTAGGTGTTCACCAAGTTCATCTTATCCACATTAAAAACACACTATTTTCTATTGTGAAGGTACGAACTTAGTAATTCACAATTCACCAATGTCATAAATAAGTCAACTGATTTCTAATAATATTATGAGAGACACTATCGAAAGCACATGGCAGGTCCAAATAACTAGCAGTGAAATATTCACCCTTCTGAAAGATTTACAAAATTATCCCGAACAATTCACCAGTGGCAAGGGACATGGATATGCCCTTGAAGAAACAAAACTTCTGGGATTCTATCACAAATCCTATTTTAAACATGTACCTAAATAATATTTGACATACAAATTAATAACAAATTTAAAATTATTTTCCTACATAATTGTACAGCTGGTTTTCACTCCACAGATCATTTGATTCAAAGTGCTGAGAATTGTATCAAAAATCAATAATTCAAATAATTAGCTCAAAATTGGAATAAGAGCCTACAATTACAGATCATTTTGAAAGTTCTATTCTTTGGAATGGGAATTACCTTAGCAATTTTTAGTTTATCTGGAAAACACCTATGATCAAGACAGTCATTCAAGATGAAAGCAAGTGGGAAAGCAATGCAAGGTCCACAAGACTTAATTAAAAAATATCTCATTGATAAATAGATTATGATTTAACTCCTATTTTAACATGTACCTAAATAATATTTGACATATAAATTAATCACTAATAAAAAATTATTTTCTTACATAATTGTAAAGCTGGTTCCACTTTCTAGATAATGTGATTCAAATTGCTGGGAGATTGTATCAAAAATCAATATTTCAAATAATTTGCAGAAAACCAGAATAAGAGCCTTCAATTACAGATCATTTTGAAAGTTCTATTCTTTGGAATGGGAATTATCTTAGCAATTTTTAGTTTATCTGGAAAACACCTATGATCAAGAGTCATTCAAGGTGAAAGCAAGTGGGAAAGCAATGCAAGGTCTACAAGACTTAATTAAAAGATATCTCATTGATAGATTACATTTACCTAAATAATATTTGACATACAAATTAATCACTAATTTAAAGTTATTTTCCTACATAATTGTACAGCTGGTTTCCATTTGACAGATGATTTGATTCGATGAGCTTGAAGATTGTATCAAAAATCAATATTTCAAATAATTTGATGAAAATCGGACTAAGATCAATTGGCCTACAATTAGAGATCATATTGAAATTCCTATTATTTGAAATGATCATTTTAGAAAATTTTAGTTTATCTGGAAAACATCCTTGATCAAGACATTTAAGATGAAGGCAAGTGGGAAAGCAATGCAAGGTCCACAAGAATTAATTATGTTAAAAGATGTCTCATAGATAAATATATTATTATTTACCTACTATTTTAAACATGTACTTACATAATATTTGACATACAATTTTTATATATATATTAAATTTATTTGCTAAAACTGATCTTATTAGACCAACCATTAATTTTACAATAATATTATAGAATAAATAAATGTTTACATTCTTATAAACCCATTCGTTTATCTTGTTACAAGCATTTTTGAGGATTTTGGTTGAATGGGCGTTAATCAGTCCTAGTGATATCACCGCTGTCATCTGCAAACATTGCAATTTTCACTCCACCTAATTTTGGAAAATCACTGGTGTATAACAAGGAAAGAAGTGAACCTAATATGCTACGTTGTGGCACTCCTGCATTTATTGTTTTTAATTTTGAATATTGATCGTCTTGTTTGACTATAAAAAGTCTGTCAGTTAGGTAGGAACTGATATCACCATACTGCATTGGTAGCATCCATTTTAGTTTATTGATGAGTCCTTCTTGCCAGACCTGACAAATTAATCACTAATTTAAAATTATTTTTTTTAGATTATTTATTAGGTATTTACTGTTTTTGTAATTCACGTTTTTCACACGTTCAAAATTGAGCGCCAAAAAGAAGCCGAGCTTCTCATTGGAACGTGGATCGGCGGAATTACTCTTTCAATTTATGTCGAAAGACGTGGTTCTAAATGCTTGAAACTTATGATGAGCTTTAAGCTTGATATCCGCATGGATGAAAAGAACAAACTGTAAGTAAGAATTTTTTCTTTTGTAAATAATGTATGATTAATGTATGAATTGTTTGGATTTTTGTTGAAACGTTAGTTATTTCGTGTGCGTAGAGATGGCAGGAGTGTCGATCAGCCGCCGCCCCCTCCTCGCAATCACGAACAGCTGTGATCCTGATAGCAGGACTGATAGCAAAGTGGAAGGTTGTTCGTTTACCTTTCAGTCATTCTCCAGGCGTCGAACGGAATGAACTTCGGGTGGCGAGCTGGCAGTTTTTCTCACTCAGCCTAGGGCCGGCGACGTTATGGCTTTGCCAGCGCGTGTGTCACACTCGGCTCGCTTTTATTTGTCGGTGTCCGTTTCTATTTAAAGGGCTTTTTGTGATCCAAGGGGAAAAAGATTTTTGTAATTTTGCCCAATTTCCACCTTCGTCTTTGTCCACTTTTTGGGTTCGGAATGTTGGTCGCGATGACGGCGATGCTCGTTTCCGTCGCGGAGCTCTCCAACATAATGTCCGTCGTCGCTATTCTAGTGTTGTTGTGTGGGATGGTCGTCTTCATTATGAAGTAAGTGGAAAATTATTTATTAACTGTCCCTGTAGTTTATATACGCGGTGTTTGTAAACAAAAGGTGGACATCCGAAGACAGGCTCATTTCCACATTCATTTCCACATTTTCACTACTTGCAGCTGAATGGGAAATAAAAAAAAAACAATAAAAAATGCAAAACACAAAATGAACCTTACGAATAATAGTCACAACTCATATTTATGTAAAAGTTGAGAAGATCTAAATCAAATCTGTATCTTCAAATTGGTTGACAAGGCGAACTCTTCTAACTAGCCTATTATTCAACATTTAATATTTTATCAAATCAACATGAGAATTATTTTCAACAAACAGCGTAAAAAGTTTAATTTTTTAACTTTGTAAACATTATTTTGACATAAAGTTTGGTTTTCCCAATGTCTCAGACCTGATTAGAAATTGGACTTTTGGATCACATTTGCAAGACGAAATCAAGACATTCTTGGGGCTGTTGTTTTATTTTGATAAGGCAAGTGATAAGGTGAAATATAAATCCTTCGCCAATTACAAATTTCAGTCAACAAACTGAACTCAGAAATAGTTTTTTAATATAATTAAAGAAAAAAAATTTTTTTTATCTTCCTTTACCACTGTCTCAGAGCTATGTAGAATTTCTTCCTTTTGGCTCACATTTGTAAGACGAAATCAAGACATTCTGGGGGCTGTTGTTTTATTTTGATAAGGCAAGCGATAAGGTGAAATATGAATCGTTCGCCAATTATAAATTTCAGTCAACGAACTGAACTCAGAAAAAGTTCTTTAATATAATTAAAAAAAAAAGGTTTTTATATTCCTTTACCACTCTCCCAGAGCAATGTAGAATTTCTGCCTTTTGGCTCACATTTGCAAGACGAAATCAAGACATTCTTGGGGCTGTTGTTTTATTTTGATAAGGCAAGTGATAAGGTGAAATATAAATTGTTCGCCAATTATAAATTTCAGTCAACGAACTGAACTCAGAAAAAGTGTTTTAATATAATTTAAAAAAAAAGTTTTTTATATTCCTTTACCACTGTCTCAGAGCTATGTAGAATTTCTTCCTTTTGGCTCACATTTGCAAGACAAAATCAAGACATTCTGGGGGCTGTTGATTTATTTTGATAAGGCAAGTGATAAGGTGAAATATAAATTGTTCGCCAATTATAAATTTCAGTCAACGAACTGAACTCAGAAAAAGTTTTTTAATATAATTTAAAAAAATGTTTTTTATATTCCTTTACCACTGTCCGAGAGCAATGTAGAATTTCTGCCTTTTCGCTCACATTTGCAAGACGAAATCAAGACATTCTGGGGGCTGTTGATTTATTTTGATAAGGCAAGTGATAAGGTGAAATATAAATCGTTCGCCAATTATAAATTTCAGTCAACAAACTGAACTCAGAAATATTTTCGTAATATACTTTAAACCAAAAAATGTTTATATCGTTTTGTCACTACTCAGATCTGAGTAAAAATTCACTTTTGGATCAAATTTGCAAAACGAAACCAAGACATTTGGAGGCCGTTATTATATTTTGATAACTTAAACGATTAGGTGAACAAAAACCTGCTTTTAAATTATAAATTACTTTTTACGTTGATACGAGGGGCCTGTGTGAAGAATGACTGATGTGTGGTTGTGTCCAGCTAATTCTTGCAGTTTTGCAATTCCGGAATCGCCTTTGAAGGTACCCTTTCATCCCACGAGAATCCGGTTCTATTTACAAATAATTTGACCTCCCTCACCTCAGATCTATGTTTTAAGTCTTGAGAAGTTTCCATTTTCCTGCTGATATGCTTGTTTTTTTTTGTTTGTTTTTTTAATTGTCGTAATTAGGCAAAAAAGTGCTGGACTCTCTTTTTTTAATCTATTTTCATTTTCAATAATACAATTAACAGTGCGTTTAGGGATGGTTAGGTTTGGACATATCTTGAGGTCTTAATCTAGTTTTATTTCATAAATTTTCTTTGAAATGAGTTAATAATTTTTCAGCCTGTTTTTCGTTTAGTTGTTTTTTTTTTGCTGTACGTGAAACCGTGCATCTTCTTGCAAATGTGATTTTATTTCCAAACATGTTTACGTGTTATCTACTTTTTTTTAATAATAAAATTTGAGTTTTGTTGTTGTGGTAACTACAAATAATTACGATTTTGACGTACTGGAAGGCTAGAACGACTTTTATCTACTCTTTGTATTTATGATTTAGTATTTGTTTTGTGTACGTTGATTGTCTTATGATAGGAAGGTGTTCACAATTTTGTTGATATTGTCTGTTAAAAAAGAATTGCACGAAAGTATTAAAAAAACGATTCTACATTCAGATCATAGTTGAACCAGCTCTTTAAAACGCGTTTTCAACTTTTCTTATAGCAAGGTTTTGTTATTTCCTTGTGTTTAATATTTGGCAATTGTGGCATTTAACAGGAGTTTTATGTGTCTATTTTCCAAGTAATAATCCCCTTCTTTACTGCGTATACACTGCAGACATATCATTCCCAGTACTGTACTTCTCATATATGCATATGATACCGCCTTTCAGCAAGTCACCCGTTCATCAGACACTTCCTAGACCATAGCTCCTGTCTAGGAGAATGGTTCAAGAAATGTTGGATTAAATGCAATGAAACGAAATCCCAGCAAATAACTTTCGCTCTTTGACGAATCACCTTTACTCCAATCTACTATTTGAAACTTTACACCGACAAAACCACTTGGAACACCCACACACGACTCAAAATAGAATTGAACAGACGATAGGAACGACTGACTACTTGACAATAGATCGAAACTCTCATTAGGAAACAAACCAATCATTTCTACCAACCAATCTGAACATATGGAATCGAACTGTGGGGTTCAACCAAGCGTTCCAACCTACAAGGAATCCGCTCCAGTCAAAAATCCTTCGGACCATTGACCAAGCTCCCTACTTCGTATCCGAACTTCTTTCCACGAAGACCTCCAAATCCTTTTTGTCCTCGAAACTGGAGTCGATACACACGCCTCTATAAAACCCTCGATCCTCATCCCAGCCCTCTTGTCCGATATCTTTCATCCCGAACCCTCCCCGACAATCCTCTAAGACGGCCTCGCGATTTCCTCCCTCATGAGGATTGTGAATAGTGCAGTGGTAGGAGTGTTAATGGATTACTTCTGGCTAGGCTGAAATGTATATTCTGAATTTTTAACTTTATAACATTTTGAATAGTTTTTATTAAAAACATATATTGCAGAAAGATCATTTTTAACGTTTCTAGTATTCAGAATTTTAACACGGAGGGTTATGGTTAGGGGCAATTTAGCCGAAGTTAGTTGATTGTGGTTTTCGATCTGCGCGTCGGTAACACATGTAGAAACCGTGACTGGGATATTTATGGGTCCGTTTACACTCGCAGGTTTGGAAGTTTTTCTCTTTTTTGAGGATTGGGAGGGTTGAATAACGATTATAAAAATGCTTTCCTCCACTGCGACCTATATTAAGGCCATGCCTTGGAAAGTGAACTTTTTCCTGTAAGATTGAACACTTTCCTGTGCTTCTTAGTGCATCTATTGTGGTGCGAGAATTGCCTCAAGTTAATCTAATGCTTCACATTCACAAAGGACACGCACCGATGTCTCCGGTTCCTCTTGACAGAGTTTCTTCTTTAGGTTGTAGTTAATGGGGCAGTGGCCAGTGAAAGATAGGAGTTCCTTCGCCTTCCTTTTTGAGAGATTTATAAATCTCTTAGCTTACCTTGTACCTGCTGCTTATGTCCAGCGGTTAAGTTTTTCTTTCTCAAGCCATTTTTCCAGTTTCAACTTAGGCACAATATCCGATGCACATGGTTGGGTGGAGGGGTGACCCGTTTTTGACTAGTTGGTCAGCCTGTACCTTCATGTCTCAGAACCCAGTTTAAGGTAACCTTGTTGTGTTTTCCTAGACCTATTAGGCAATTGAGGCACTCGTAGACAAGTTTGGAATTGAAAGCACACACATTTAGTGCCTTTACAGCTGACTGATTTTTTTTTTTTTTAAATTTCCTGGTGAAAGTACTCTATAACACCAGAAAGTTTATTTATCTACATGCTCCAGTTATAATATTATATATGTATATCAAACCGATTGTAAGTATATTTAAAATACCGATTAAAATTCTATGCTTAACATTTGGAAAGTAAAGAACGGCAAAAGAAACTGACCTTATTTTAAATTAAGCAGAAAAAGACTAATTACTAAGTACGTAAGGAATATTTACAACAACTGAAGGCCAATACTTTTAAGAAAATAAAATATTTACATAAGCCTTGCTCTAATGACGAAGATGTGTTATGCAGAGGCCACGATATTCCTTCTTGGACACATCTTTTAATGAGTGGGCGCTCAAGCAGTGGACACTCGATTGTACTTCCATGTCTGAAGTACCTGTCACAGCTACAGTTGGGATCGGTCATAATGCCAAAGCGGTATAAATAAGCTACTCTTTCCGTGACCGCTAAGAGCTTGGGTTGTAAGTTTAGCCTTCCTAGAGGGCTGGCTCTTCGGCTGTAGATGCACGGGAAGAATTTCTTCAGCGAGCCTCCCCCGAATGTATGAACGGGGTTCCCTGCTGATTGTCTCCTTCAAGGTGAAGCCCTGCGATGCCTGCTTAGTGATAGTGTCAGCCGCCGCATTCCCTTGTTGCCGTACATGTGCTCGAACCACGTTAAAGAACACATCTAGTTCCCAATTCGATTGCAGGTTTTGCACCTTCTCTCTAATTGCGGCAATCATTGGTTTTTGATTTTTATTTTGTTTTAGACTATCCAGATTTATTCGGCTCTTGGTGAAAACCGTTACTCCCTCACTTCTTGGAAATATGAGATAGAGTGTTCATATTCCAGAGCCTTTAATAAGGCCAGCTGTTCGGCTTGATTGCCATAACTGTCTGAGAGTATGTAAATCTGTGCACCTTTCATATTTTTCATTATTAACTCCTGTGCACAGAGTCGTATTGCATAGATATCACCTTGGAAAATTGT